GAGGGAACAGCTACAGCAAACTTCTCGAGTGCTGTCCCCCCAGTTCTCTCACCAAACACACTCACCAAAGCAGCAAACCCCGGAGATGAGGCTCCCGGGAAGGGCACAGTGTTTGGAGAGGGCTGGGAGAGGAGAGCCGGGCCCACAGAGCAGCACCTGCAGCACACGGAGACGGTTCCCAACTCCAGAGGCTCCAGTCACGTTTTCCTGAGAGCAGCACCACAGAACAGCCCCGACCCCCGGATCAGAGGGATGGCCCAAAAATCCCACCGGAGCCGCTCCTTCCCGGCCGAGCAGCCCAGTCTGAAAGTGAAAGCAGCTCCTGCAGTGCGTGTGGAACCCCTGAGCGATTCCATCCTATCACCGGAGCACTTTCAATATTCCTAACAGTTTGCTTAAAGGTGTGCTGTCAGCCCAGGCACTAAAGGGCAGCTCCAGCCTGGAATTCCTGTGGAATGAATCACACCTAGAGGTTATGGAGCATGAATTATCAACTTGTAACAGCTTGGGCTTTTTAGACATTTCTCAGACCAGCACTGCAGCAGAGAAATTCCAACGGGAAACACAGCAAGAACTGCTCTGCAATAACCAGGATGGACAGAGCTGGGGGTGAGGGCTCAGGTCACAGATATCTGTGATCAGGAGCGGTGAAAACCACCCAGTAAATGCAACCAGCACTTCCTCCTGTTGTGTTCCAGCCTTTGTTGGTGTATTTTAAATGGTCTCTGTTAAAGGAAGACAGCCAGGAACCCACAGGCAGCCCCAGAGCAGCCGGAGCTAAACCTGCCCATGGTGAATTATCATGGGCTGAGAACAAAAACACCTCAGAAACACGATCCAGCTCCTCCTCCTGCTCACGGAGCAGTTCCTCTCGCCCTGCCGACCCCCACGGAGCAGAGGGAGAGCCCCAGGCCCTGCTCCAGCCACTGCTGAGCCAGCCACTCGGGCACCCACCGGAGCTGCAGCTGGAGGGAATCGGGCAGGACACAATGGGAATGTAACAGCCCGAAGAAATGGGAACTCAACACTTCAGAACCCTAAACAGTCATTTTACATCTCAAGCACCCAGGCATCTTCAAGTTCCTCTTTCATGTTTCTCCTTGCCATACTTTTGGCAAGTTTAGACCAAACAGGCAGACAGGAATAGGAGTCAGTCCTGTCACCAGTGCAAAGGACAACATCAGACTGGGACACACTGACTGTGTGAGGAAAACTGAATCACTCCAGGGCATCCCAAGCCAGCAGTTGGAGCCACCCTGATGTCCTGAATGCTCTGGGCATGGAAAAGGCTCCTGGGACACTGGCACTGCAGCCTCAGAGCTGCTCCGTGTGGCCATGGCACTGTCAGGGTCCCTGATTCTTTACACTTTCAATCTTTTTCAATTCTTTACAGTTTCAAACCCTCTGCACTGCACCCGAGCAGGTCCCGACGTTCTGCTTCACACGCAGCCACTTGTGGTGGAAAAACCACTCCGGGACATCAAAGCCAACTTCCCTGTGGATCAGAGGCACATAAACACCACTTCCAACCCGCCAGCCTCCAGGCAGGCTCCGCGTGCACCTGCTCTGGGAGAGGAACGTGTTCACCTCGATCACACCTACACATGTGCAGACCTCGACCCTGTTACCAAAACAGACCGAAGAGTTTTGAGTTTTAAGCTGAAGAATGTTTCAGGGGACTATAAACCTGATTAGGCCTGGAAGGCTTTCCTGAGACTGTCACAGTGACAAGTCACAGCACGGTTTTCTCCCGTGCAGAAAACTCCCAGCAGTGTTTCAGTGAGACTCATTTGGGTTTGTGGCTTCAGGAACAGGCTTATTTTAGGAAAATGAGGGTGTAAACATCCAACAAACAGACCCCCATCAAGTAAAGAGCAGGGGCAGAGATAATGCAGCTCAGGCTTCCAGAGGCTCCAGCTGGCAGCCTAAAGAGCTCTGCAAAGGCTGGCACTGCTGCACAGAACACACAATCCTCCTGAACCCACAGCAACAGCACTGGCACGTCACTGTCCACTTAAACATTCCCACCACCAGCTGCCCTGATTCAGCCATCCCCACACAGCTCAGGACGAGCTCAACACTCAGATAATACAAGAACAGTGCGCAGCAGGAACAGCCCCACACAGGCACAGCCCTCCAAACTCACCCCAGAGCAGAAAACCCTTCGGGGGTTTGGATCCCCCGGCTTTGGGATGGCAGCACAGAACCTGCAGGACCTGCCCTTTCATTTTAATTGTAACCGGGTCCCGCTGAGGGGGAGCCGCAGCTCTCAGGCCGATATTTGGGGTTACCCCGAGGAGGGAGCGTGTTTTAGACCTGGCACCAGTATTTAATGAGCTGAAGCCCCCAGCTCGTGGTCTGTCAGCGCTGGCTCTGCTGTTGCAGAGACTTCGGCTCGGGCCGTCAGCAGGACCTGATGGATTCAGGCTTTCAGATGGGATACTGGGAAGGGAATTCTTGGCTGGGAAGGGTTGGGGAGGCCCTGGCACAGGTCGCCCAGAGAAGCTGTGGCTGCCCCACCCCTGGAAGCGTCCGAGGCCAGGTTGGAGCCACCTGGGCTAAAAGTGGATGGGCAGGGGGTGGAAATGGGATGAGTTTTAAGCTCCGAGGCTCCAGCGGGCCCGGTTCGGGGCCGAGGGGGCCGGGGGGAGGACGGGCCCCCCCGTCCGGGGGGGCCCGTCCCCCCCCGGCCCCCTCAGCCCCGAATTGGGCCCGTTCTGGGGGGACCGGGCCGGGAGCGGCGTCGGGCGGAGGGGAAGGACCCGCGGGGGGTGCGGGCGGCCCTTACCTGTGTGCGGGGGCTCCGGCGGGTCCCGGGGGGCTCAGGGTGGGGTCTCGGGTGGATCAGGAGGGTTCGGGGGGGGGGGGGGTCAGGCTCCCGCCCCGCCGCCGCCGCCGCCGCCGCCCGGCGCCATGTCCGACACGGACTTCCGGGAGGAAGGGGCGGCGAGAAACCGGGAACCGGGAACTCGGGACGGGGCACTGGGGGGGAGACGGGGAATGGGAGCGGGGAACTGGGGGAGACAGGGAACGGGGCACTGAGGGAGACTGGGAACGGGAACCGGGAAGGGGAATGGCACCGGGCACTGGGGAAGACAGGGAACGGGGAACTGGGGGAGACCGGGAACGGCACCGGGAACGGGGCATTAGGAGAGACAGGGAACGGGAACCGAGAAGGGCCCCGGGACTGAGAATGGCACCGGGAACCGGGAACGGAGCACTGGGGAAGACAGGGAACGGGAACAAGGAATTGGGGGAGACCTGGAACGGCACCGGGAACGGGGCATTAGGGGAGACAGGGAACGGGAACCGAGAAGGGCCCCGGGACTGAGAATGGCACCGGGAACTGGCCACTGGGGAAGACTGGGACCGGGAACTGCAGGAGACCGGGACTGGGAACCGGGAACGGCACGGGGCACTGGGGGGGGGACGGGGACCGGGAGAGCAGGAAAACCGGGACCAGGGGAACCGAGAACGGCACCGGGGGGGTACCGGGACCGGGAGAACCGGGCCGGGCCAGCAGACGGGAATTACCTGCCGGGCCTTTGGGAACAGCGAGGCCCCGGGACGGTCCGTTACACCTCTCAGGCTTCATTCATTCATTCGCACAGAGTAATTAATCGAGGCGCTCCTGCCACACTTCCCAACGCATCCTTCCTCCAGAGCTTAACCCCGAGCGTCCCGGCTCCGTTCAACCCCGTCCCTGTGCTCTGAGTCCTGGAGCCGTGTCCCCACGGGCCAGCCCCTGTCCATGTCCCCTCCAGGCCACCTGATCCGAGAGCAACTGCCACAGTCTACGGAACCGAAGGGTCTGAAAGCGCCCCCAGCTCTTTATTTGATGTGATACAAACACAAATAAATGAACACAGTGAGAGAACACGCAGGGGTCCCTCAAACACCGAACCAGCCTCCCCCCAGAGCCACCAGCCCCGCATTTCCCTCTCTGGGATCACCTCCTCCTCCCAGCCCAGCCTGCATCCCGGTTTACACGGGAACCCCCGAGGAGGGGATGGAGCAGCAGTGACGCTCCTCTGGGGTGGTGGCACTCGGAGCACTGGGGCTGCCCTGTGCCTGCACTGGTGGGCAGTGTGGGGACATGGCTGAGTGTGTCCCAGCGTGTTGGCCCTCGTATAGGTGTGATGTCCCTGGGAAACGGCCTGGCTTCCCCAGGAACAGCTCCCCCGGGCAGCTGGGCCCTGGGGGGCACCTGCTCTCAGGGAAAATGGGGTCAAAAATGAGAGTTTTGAGGCCCTGATCTCGGAGCAGGTCTGGCCGTGTCAGGGCGTGCCCGGCCGTTGTCACCCGCAGCCAGTTTCTGTTTTTTTCCCAGAGCCTGGAAATCCCCTGACTTTCCGAGGGGGGGTGTTCCCGGCGGGCAGGGCCGGCCTGGGCCAGGCCGCGGTCCGGTCTCCATGACACCCCCGTGCCCTTCGCCCTTTGCCCTTCGCCTCCTGCCGCGAGCGCTGACGGACAGCTCCCGAGGCCAATCACAGCGCTCCGTCGCCGCCAACTCCGCCTCTCATGCTGACGGACATCTCCTACAACCTATCACAGAGCCTCGCCGCGGAAAGCCCCGCCTAAACTAATGACGGACAGCCATCTTGGCCCATCACAGTGCTTCGTCTCCCGGTTGGACACGCAACGAGCCAACCGGAAGCGCATCCGCGCCGCCGGCCCCGCCCCGTCCCTCTGAGGCCGGGGCCAATCAGCGTTCGAGCACGCGCGGGCGGGGCCGGCGGCGTGGCCAATGGGGACGCGCGGCGGGGCGGCGCGAGGCGCGCGGGGCGGGGGGGCGGCGGGGGCGGGCGGGGACAAGATGGCGGCGGCGGCGGCGGCGGCGCGCGCGCGGCGGGGCGGGCGGTAACGGGGCGGCGGGACCGCGACAGGGCCCGGGACAGGGCGGGGGCGGCGGCCGAGGGGCGGCCCCTGAGCTCCACGGGGGAGGCGCAGGCGCGGCGGGGCGGAGCGCGGCGCCAGGGCCCGACCCGGTTCGCCGGCCCGGCGGCGGGGAGGGGGGACTCGGCCGCCCGCCCCCCTCCCCCGACTCACCGTCCGGGGCGGCGGGAGCGGCCGGGGCCGCCCGCAGGGGGAGGGCCCGGAGGTCACCGAGCCCCTCCCGGCCCGGGCGCTGATTCGGTCGCACCAAAAGTGTCCCGGCCCCGTCCCCCCTCGCTGCCCCCCCGGCGTGTCCCCCCCGCCCCGCCGAGCCCCGCGGGAGGGACCGCCCGGGCCCGCCGGGCATCGCCCCCCTGACTCCCCGCGAGGGACCGGGCAGAGGGTCCCCCGGCCCCCCGGGCGGGTTTGTTGTCCTGCGCCGCTGACCCCCGGCAGAGGCGGTGACACATCATGTGCCAGGCGCAATCCCGGTGGATGAAGGATGCCCCCGGGAGCTCTCGGTAGGCACCGAAGGCCTCAAACTTTTGTAGGCGAAAGCGAAGAAGTGAGAATTGTCTGGGAAAGCTCCTTCAAGGAAACTTGGTTCCAGCTCCCCAACGGCTGAAACACCCCCCAGCCCGTGCTCCCGGGACACACCTTCCTCAGCCCGGCCGGGAAGGATGAGCTCCTAGGGATGGAAAGCCACGAGAGGGACTGGGAGTTGGTCTGGTTCCACGGGGTGGCCTGACGGCCCGAGGATGACCTAACTGGGCCCAGTCAAGGCCAGGTGACTGGGAAAAGCCCCGGCAACGGGACCGGGCCGGAGGCAAAGCGAGTCCCAAACTGAGCGTGTCCCATCACACATTTATGTTCTTTTTCAAAGACGTTCTGGAGCCAGGCCGGGATCTTTGGGCATCCAACTGACCTGGAAGCAGCTCTTAGGTTTGGTTTTCTTTTTTTTTTTTTTTCCCTTCTCTTTTTTTTGGTTGTTTTTTAATTCACGTTTGTACAATCTTCTGGATATCTTCCTTTTTTTTTTTTGTGTTTTTCTTCCTCGAGAAGGAGTAAAAAGGGAGTGTTGGAAACTTAACATTAAACAGGATTAAAGCCCTAAGCGCTTAAGGGGAAAACAGGTTAAGGAACTTAATCCAGGATGGATCTGCAGGAGCCCCAGCAGCTGGGAATGTTTGCGGAGGGCGAGCTGATGTCGGTGGGGATGGACACGTTCATCCACCGCATCGACTCCACCGAGGTCATTTACCAGCCCCGGCGCAAACGGGCCAAGCTCATCGGCAAGTACCTCATGGGAGACCTGCTGGGGGAGGGCTCCTACGGCAAAGTCAAGGAGATGCTGGACTCGGAGACCCTGTGCAGGAGGGCTGTGAAGATCCTGAAGAAGAAGAAGCTGCGCCGGATCCCCAACGGGGAGGCCAACGTGAAAAAGTGAGTGGACGCTTCTGGGGATGGGGGGCTCGGCTTGGTGCTTGTTCTGCAGCTGAGCTCCTGGGTAGCCTCAGCTGACAGCGTGGCTCTCTGATGGGGAAGGGCTTCCTGAGCCGTGGCTTCCTGCTCTGGAAGTGCTTCCTAAGCCATAAGTGTTCAGGAATCTTCCTACTGAACAGCGCCCAGCGCTCTGGGTGAGGCTGGCACAGGGAAAGGGGCGGGTTCCTGCGGGCCAGGACTGTCTGGAACACAGCACTTTGGTGTTGCTTAATGGATTAAATAGTGTTTCCTAAAGCAATCCCTCTCTAAGGTCTCGCCTTGCCCAGGTGCTGCTGCCTGGGAAGGGTGAGGGGGCACAAACACACCTGCTGTGGTCACAGTTATTGCATCCAGGTGTGTGTGGCCCTGGAGCTCTCGGGTGGCAGTTCCTGCTCCCACCCCTGTGGAAGGTGCCTGGAACAGGATCCAATGTATGGGGCACCCCATGGGCACAGGAAGTTTTGGGTTTTTCCCTTGGTTTCATTTCTGAGGCGTCTGGGACACGTTCAAGGCTCTCCCCAGCTGATTTCTGACGCTGTAGAACAGGGCCGAGGGTTGTTGACCTCTCTGGTGTCAGAGACTCCAGAGTTGTGCTCAGGAAGCTCCGACACCCCGGTTACTCCGGGCACAAGGACCTTGTGGAAGGCAGCCCTGGGAGGGGCCGGGGCCGTGGGGCTGCTGAGGGAACTTTCCCTTCCAGGACCTCGCAGCAGCTGCGTCCCAGCCCTGCCAGGAGCTGCTTATCTGCCATGCAGGAGCCTCTGCAGCCCAAACAACCCGGCCAGGGTTTATCTGGGCTGGGAGGGAGGGCTGTGAGAGCTCCAGGAGCCTCTTGTGCCGCTCAGCTGAGGGTGAGCCCTGCCCTGGCAGAGTCCCGTGTCTGTCTCACCCAGGGTTGAGTTTCCCAGTTCAGCTGTGGGATATTTCACATCCTGTCCCAGCACTGCTGTCAGGGAGCTCTCACTTTGCCTTCCAACCTTCCTTGACAGCCTTGGCTGTGGAACAGTCACATCCCAGGGCCGGGACCTCCCTGTCCCTCCCTTCCTGGCTCAGGTTCAGGATCAGAGTGAACTTCGTTAATGTGTAATAGAATGTTTCTTGTTTTTCTGGTGGAGGCTGAGTGCCCCTGTCCCTCCATGGGCACATCCAGAGCTGCCATGAGGAACAGGGAGATCGCTTCCTCCTTGGGGAAACTTTTAATGTAAATTAGATAAAAAAACTTGCCCACACCAGGAGAGTTCCCTGCTCTGAGCCATGGGAACGCTCCTGTGTCCTGAGGTGAACTCCGTGGAAGTTTTATTCATGCCCAGAGCGGGGCTGTGAGTGTCAGGGGGGTCATTAAGGGGGTTATTAAGCAGACTAGCCAAGCCCCTCCCTGGTTTGCTGTGGATGTTTTCTGGCTCAGCCCCACCTGCTCCAGAACACCAAGGCAGATTTTAGGTGTTGTGTTGTACCCAGGGTTGACTTTAGTTCGAGTTCCTGTTTCTGTCCCCTCATGCTTTCCTCTCTGCCCAGCCATTTGTGATCTTTATCTACTGCTTCAGTGGGGAATTTTAAGGTAAACTCTTGTATTTTTGGGCCCCTGGGCCTGTGGCACTCTGAGCTTGTCAGACCCTTCAGCTCAGGAAGTGAAAGCTGTGAAACTTGGGTTGTTGGACAGAGGGGATTGAGTTACTGTGGTGGGCTTGTGCCTCTGCTCCCTCACAGAGCTGTGGAGGACTGGGCAGGTCTGAGCCAGGCCTTGGGCACCTGCAGATGTGGGGCTGGAGTTGGGACATCAGTGCCATCCCTGGGTCACTCTGTGGGTCACTCCCTGCTCATATCCCAGACCAAAGCCTCATCCCACACGTGCAGCCCCCTGTCCCAGCCCTGTCTCCTGATGTTCTGGAGACCCAGAAATTATGACTAAAATGTTTTTGGGACTTAGATCAAATTGAATGATTTTTCTCTACCCTAGAATACTCCAGTTTTGCTCCGGAAAAATGAGTCCTGAAGGAATGTCCTAGTCCTGGGGAGGATGTTGAGGGTTTAAACTTGTAAGACACACGTTTCCTTAAATCCACTGAGGGAATCTTCGTTTCTCTTCAGTTGCTTTAGGTGAAGTGAGGTGGCTCAGTCAGGCAGACAGTGCTGGGGCTGATCCCTGCAAAACAGGAGTTTAGTGGGATTGCTGAAAAGAGGAAGGCAAACCTGGCAGGCTGTGTGTGCAGCAGCAGAGGTTTAATAACGCTGTGTGCTAATAACCTCACACGTTAATTAATGTTTGGGGCTCTGGGGGATCCCAAGTGCCCTGTGCTGTACTCACCACCTCGGCACTGCTCCGGCTGGAATCCCTGCTCCCTCCACGGTGCTGTGACAGTTTGTTCCTGGGGTCTGCAGGAACCGAGCTGGAACCTCCCAGCAGGGACAGCTCTGCTGGGCACGGACTTGCTGGAAGCCCCAGAGGTGTGGGCTCAGGTGGGGCCTGCAGCTGGGGGGGCTCAGGTGGGGCTGCAGCTGCTGCTCCTCCTGTCCCTCCTCCCCGGACATGGGGGCCCTTCGGAGCCGCCTGGCTCAGGGGGATCCTCTGCTGGGCTGGGTGTTTGCTTGGCTGTTCCCAGAAACCCTGGGAGCTGTAATCCATGGAAGAGCACAGGTAGCTGTGTTGTGATGGATATAGAGCCTGGAATGCCAGACATCCCTGCAGGAATATGGACAGAGCCCTGGGACTAGGAAAGAGAAAAAGCAGCACCAAGGTCCTCCCGTCCAGTCCTGAGGCAGGGCCTGCTCTTAAGCTTTTAGGACTTTATTGGAGGAACCTCGTGAACCAAAGGAAGGGAATGAATCTTTTGGCTGTGTGGCTGGGTTTTATTTAAGCAGGAATGGCTGTGAGACCAGGAACAAGCTGTAGGAAGAACACTGGATCTTGGTGGAGATGTCCAGGAAGGAACTTCTTTCCAGGCTGTCCTTGGCAACTTCCAGAATGGTGTGGCAATGGAGCAAGTAGGCAGCTTTGCTATATACAGTTCTGAGCAGCTACAGCCCCCAGTTATTTGCCAGAGCAGGTACATTGCAGGGGATAAGCCTTAATCTACCAGGATGAGCTTAATGGATCTGACAGAGCTCCAGTTAGAAGGTCTTTTCCCTCCTGGTCTTCTTCCGAGGAGGTTGCACTTGGAAGCAGGCCCTGCCCTCTGGCAGTCTGTCTGGTCACACACTTGCAGTGGGCTGGGCTGGGGTTTTGGTGTTAGTTTTGGGGAAAAAAACCAACTTTAGGCCCGTTCTGAGGAGGTGAGTTCCCCTGCTCGTGGGGTTTGCAAAGCAAAATGGGATCGGAGGTGACTGGCTGGCTGTCCCTGCTCCTCAGGCATTCCAGAGTGCAAGAGGAGCTAAAAATAGAAGTAATCTTTCCTCTGGGAAAAGGGCTGCTTGGCCTCTGCCCCGGGGGGGGGGCACTGCCCTGGCATTTTGGATGGGTTCATAAAGTCCTCTGGGGGGGGAATCATTGCAGAAATATGAGATATTTTTTCAGTCTGTTGAAGGTGGAAGGAATTAGTGTTTGTGCTTCTGAGCTGTATTGCAGGGATCGAGCTGTTGGGATCAGGATTTTAAATGTGTCCCTGATATTGGCAGCTTGCTTTGCCTTAAAGCAGTTGTGTTTGAGTGTGTGTGCTCTCCTCCCTCCCAGCATCCCAGTTGGATCCCTCTCCCCCTGTGCTGCAGGATCTCCTCACCCCACACAAGCACTGGCTGCAGTTCTTGTGCTGGTTTAATCCACTTCAGCCCTTTGGTTGTTCCTATAATTAGACCTGTCTGCTGTGCCCACTGAACACTGGGGAGCTGTCCCGTGGTGTCCTGGGTCTCTGCTCAGCTCTCGGTGGCCTTTTTAAATCCAGAGTTGAGAAAGGAAGAGTCCCTGGGCTAAACTTTGTTAGTGAAGTGATTCCTACTGCTCAAGTATCCTTAAAAGATCCTGAAGGATTCTCCTTGCACTCCTGCGTTGGAGGAGCCTTTCCAAGGAGCAGTTCCTGGTTGTTACTCAGATGTGAGGCACCAGCCAGGCTTTGTGCTGACCCAGCTTGTTGTTGGAGCTGTGAATGGTGAGGGGCTTTGGGCTGGCTTTGGGCTGGGGCTCTCGCTTCCAAAGCTGTGCTTGGAATTCCTTGTAGTGCTGCTTCCGAGAGCTGGAGCTGATGAAGTGTGACCACACTGCTCAAAGCACTGGCCAAATGGCACAGGAAGGGAGGTGGGAAGGAGAGTTTGTGGAGTTTAGCACAAGTTTATGTGGAGTTTAGCACAGCTCAGCGTGGAGCAGCAGCGGGACCTGCAGTGCCAGACACGGACAGAACCACCCTGACCTGACTGTCCTGATCCACCTGTTTCTCCACAGCTGGCAGCCAGTGGGATTTCACAGGCTGAGTTTAATGCAAAAGAGACTAAAATGTGGTTTGGGGCAGGTGCAAAATCCCAGGAGACAAAGATCAGACGAGCTGACATAGGAGGGGCTGTTCTCCGAGCCAAGGGAAGGTGTTTGTGCTGTTTTAGGTTATTCCCCACAAACAGAGGATTCGGTTCAGGTCTCTGAACCATTCAGTCGAGTTAAGTTTGGGCTAGATTTTGGGAGAAATGGAGTGGGAAATTAGCTTCTTAAACATGACTTTTTTCCTTGTCTCTTCCTGCAGGGAAATCCAGCTCCTGCGGCGATTACGGCACAAAAACGTCATCCAGCTGGTCGATGTGTTGTACAACGAGGAGAAGCAGAAAATATATCCTTTTTTTACAGGGCTGTTAATCAGGTTTGAATTCCCACTGCTCCCTGCTGCAGTTCTGCTTTTTGGGAAGGTCCTTTTGGATGCTTCTTAAGCTTGAATTTTTGCAATTAAATTGCTTCCACTGGTATGAACCATCCTGCCTGCTGGGAGACTTTCCCCAGGAACACAAATTCCCAGACACACTGGTTGAGGCAGTTTTATGCCTCACCTTACTGGATATGGGGTGACTGTGCCACGCTGAGAGCACTTTGCCTGGAACCAGCGTGGAAGTTCCTGGAGCTGATCTGTTGTAGCACATGTTATAAATGGTTGCTTTTATATTTGGCAGTGTTTTCTAAATACTGCCTTATTAGAGCACTCCAGAAAAGGGGTAATTTAATTGTGTGCGTTAATTAGATCAAACGCTCTGCCACCAGATCATTAGGATAAAGCAGTGTGACAACTTCTGCTTGTGCCCGTGGCCTCGACAGACAGGGGGGACAGCGAGTCAATTACCGGGAGAGAGAGATGCCTTTAATTAGGGAGAAGGGAGGAGGCAGCGAGGGGAAAAGGAGCCCGAGAGAGACATCGTGTGTCGGAACCAGGTGATGACAACCCAGAACTGTCACTGGGAAATGGGGTCTCTCTGGGGACGTTCCTGTCTGGACTCTCCAAGCAGTGCTGGTCCACGAAGAACATGTTGGTTTTCAGTACCTTCCCCTTGCAAGTACAGGTTGACTTTGCCATTTTTGTCTGTATCTGCTCCTCCACTCTCTGAGTTTGCTCCTCCCAGTGCTGGTGACATTGGAAATTGGGGCTGTGGAGGGAAGGATTCTGTTCCCACCTGAGTGCCCTGTTGCTGCTGGAAGTGCATTGCAGGCTTCAGCTGTGTTTGTCATAGAATCAGAGACTGCTTTGGGTTGAAAGGGACCCCAAAGCCACTTCAGGGTATTTCCCTGTTTCTGTCATTCCTGTGAGGTCTCCAGTTTGGCTCCTGTGGAGTTCCTGTCCTGTCCCAGGCCCGTTGCTGGAGCTGCAGTGGGTCATTCCAGAAGGGTTTTCTCGTGGGTGCCTCCCCCTCCTGTGGGAGCTGGAGGGAGGTCCCTCAGCAGCTGGGGAGTGCAGCCCCTCGGGCTTTGGCTCTCTGGGATGGGGCTTTGCCCTCACACAGCACCTCCTGAGGGGTGTTCAGCCTTGGAGCTTCCTTAACTCTGCCTCCACGTATATGGTGATGGAGTACTGTGTGTGTGGGATGCAGGAGATGCTGGACAGTGTCCCAGAAAAGAGGTTTCCAGTGTTTCAGGCTCACGGGTAAGTTTGGTTCCTCTCACCACTGTGCTCTCTTGAGCTGGAGAGCTCTGCTCAGGCTGCACATGAAAGCAAACCTGGCTTTGTGCAGTGATTTAATCTTTTACACCCATGCAAAAAGTGAAAAGCTCTTGAAGTGGTGGCAGGGATTGTCCTTAGATTTTTGGGAAGGAAGACCATGTTTCTGTTGATTTTTCTGTTGCTTTTGTTTAACTCCCTGAGCTGCCCAACAGCCCTTCCTGGCCCTCGTCCTCCTGCAGTGCCCAGGGGTGCAAAGGGGGCAGTCTCCTGCCCTGCCTAAATGGAGGCCAAGCCACAGTTCAGCATCAGAAGAGAGATTAAAGGCCTTGGGATGGATTAGGGATTGGCAATATCCAGCATGATCTCTTAGCCTGGTTAGTTAGCAGACAGGATAAGCTGGAGCCCCTTTCACTCTGCAAGCAAAGAGACCTGAAAATTCTGGGAATAGAAGATAGTCATGATCAAACCAGGGCAGAGCAGCAAACTTGTGGCAACCGCATAATTTTCTGGTCGTATTGTCATTTTGTTTAAGAGATCTCTGGGATTACAGACAGCCTAAGTGAAATTCAGGCACACTAATACTATTTCTGAGTATTATGAGATGAAACACTTGCCTGCTGCCAGGCTGTGCTGCAGTGCTGGTGACAGCCCAGAGCCTCTGACCGTGAGCACAGCAAAAAGCTCCTTTCTACTGGCTAAAAGTGTTTGATTTTTCCCTCTGCCTCTCTCTGCAGGTACTTTTGTCAGCTTATAGATGGCTTAGAATACTTGCACAGCCAAGGGATTGTCCACAAGGATATCAAACCGGGGAACCTCCTGCTAACAACCAATGGGACACTAAAAATATCCGATTTAGGCGTAGCAGAGGTATGTGAGAAGTGCAGCAGTGGGACATTCCAGATTGAGGTCACCTCTGTGGTGTCATTGATTTATTGTGCTTTTAGGCTTTTGTTCTGTTGCGCTCGCAGAGCGCTCTGAGTGACTCTGAATATTTATTGCAATTGGCAAAGCACTTTTGTTGGTAACAGCACGAAACCTCCACTCAGGAAGCAGAGAGAGGAAGACATCAATCTTGGACGAGCCCAAAAGTGGGGGCAAATGGGGATAAGCTACATAACCTTACCCTGCTTTTTGCACGGAGTCTGTCCCAGGTGGGAGAGGTGCAGGGCTCGTCGCTGGGGTGTGTGGTTGCTGTGGTGGCATGTTCTCATCATCTGTAGATGTTCAGTAGAGGAGTTTTCCGCTTTTGTTTCCCAGGTGGAACTTTTCCAAGGCTCAGTTTGTTTTCCTTGGAAGTCTGACCCTGGTCTCTCCTGCAGGCATTGCATCCGTTTGCGGAGGACGACACGTGCAGGACGAGCCAAGGGTCGCCAGCATTCCAGCCCCCAGAAATTGCCAATGGCCTTGACACCTTTTCAGGCTTTAAAGTCGACATCTGGTCCGCGGGGGTGACGCTGTGAGTGCCCAGAGCCCCAGGAGCTGGAGAACAAATGACACCCCCAGGGAGCTCAGGGCTGCCACTGCTGCTCTTGTGTGCTGGGGGAGCAGGGAGGGGAGTGCTGGTCCCTCCTGGGGGGGTTTTATGCTCCCCAAAGTACCTGTTATTCTGCAGAAGGTCATCTTTTCTCTCTGTGAGTGACTCTGCAGCTGTTGCTCAGCACCCAGAGGCACAGCTGCTGCAACAACAGAAACCACAAGTATTTATTTTAAAGTTTCTGCTGTCCCAGCTGTCAGGGAGGTGTCCTGGTGGTTTTGGCTTGTGTGAATGAAGAGCTGTGATGAAGGAAGGCTAAGTTTAAAGAGGCATTCCACATACTGTCAAATATTCCTCTTTTAGTTCCCTCTTGGCTCCTTTTGGTTTACATAGCCATGTAAGAAATGAGTACCTGTGTGCTGCTTCTTATCCAGCTTCTCCTTCTGCCTCCACAGATACAACATCACAACGGGTCTGTACCCTTTTGAAGGGGATAATATCTATAAATTATTTGAAAACATCGGGAAAGGCGACTACACAATTCCAGAGGATTGTGGTCCTCCACTCTCGGACTTATTGAGAGGTGAGTCTCCCAGGTGGCTCCAAAGGGTGACATTTATAGATGCAACAACTGCTCAGCTTGCACAGTGCCAGGCAGAGCTTCCTTCCAAGTGTCCTGTGGAGATGCAGGATCCTGTTGGACAGGGAGGTTGTGCTTACAGCCTCTGAAGGATCTTCAACACTGGTGTTTTCCTGAGATCCACTAACCCCTGCACGGCTCTTGCAGTCCTTGGTTCTTGCATTATGTTTCTTGTGCTCTGAGAAGCTTTTACACCTAAAGACAAATTGAAATTTAAATTTAAAATGGCATTGTAGCATTGATGCAGGTTTTGCCAGTGAGAACACTCAGATGCCTTGTCCAGGCTTTCCCTGAAGTGAAACACTGAGTACTCAGGGTCTGCTGTCCTTCCTCATCAGCCTCTGCTCTGGATTTATTTGTCTCAGTCCCATTTGTCCTCCTTCCCCCCAGATTCAGAGCTGCAGGATATTGGAGCAAAGTGACAGGTTTCACTTTCACAGCAGGGCTGGGGTAGGACCCAGAATAGCACTTTCTGGGGAGAAGGTTGAGGTTTTTCTTGGTTTTTTTTCTTACTGTCCCTTACTGCAGCAGTTTGAGGTTTAGTGCTGAACAGTGTCCACCTGTGAAAGCTGAGTGGTCACTCAGGGCAGCAGTTTTGTGCCCGGCAGGCAGGCTGGAGAGCCCCTTTGGCAGCAGAGGGGATGTGATTCCAGCCCATGGGAGAGCCTGACCAGCATTGCTACTGCCCCCTTGGCAATGGAGCAGCCAAGTGCAGCCGTGCTGCCCAGCCCTCAGCACGGGCTCGTCCTCTCCTTGCCTTTTACAGCTCTTTTTATTGAGAGATCAGCCCCCAGATATGGGAGGTTTGTCTTGTTTCACATTGGATTTCCTGGTCCTTGTGCTGAGTGGGGTAGCTGAGGGGCTGGGGGCACCGAGTCCCTCCCTCCTGGCAGCATGTCAGTTCTGTGGGGACACAGGCAGGGACACAGGCTGGGTACAGGGACACAGGCTGGGTGCAGGGACACAGGCTGGGTGCAGGGACACAGGCTGGGTGCAGGGACACAGGCTCCATGCAGGGCTTCTGGCTCGGGGCAGGGACACAGGCTGGGTGCAGGGACACAGGCTGGGTGCAGGGACACAGGCTGGGTGCAGGGACACAGGCTCGGTGCAGGGACACAGGCTCACACAGGCTCGGTGCAGGGCTCCTGGCTCGGTGCAGGGACACAGACTCACACACGCTCCGTGCAGGGCTCCTGGCTCAGTGCAGGGACACAGGCTCACACAGGCTCAGTGCAGGGACACAGGCTCCATGCAGGGACACAGGCTCACACACGCTCCATGCAGGGCTCCTGGCTCGGTGCCGGCCGTGCCGGCGGCAGGTGGTGCTGTCAGTCCGAGCTCTTCCAGCGCCGCTGCCGGGGCTCCCTGGACCCCGGCACCGAGGAGGTGCCAGACCCCCCGCAGGCCCCCTCAGAGGCTATTTTAGCTTCTCTGGCCCCGTGCCAGCGATGAAATCAGTTATTTCCATGTGCTTCCAAAGGCATTAGCCAGCTTTAGCAGCTCTCCCAAGGCATTACATAAGGCAGCGCTTCCAACGGCGCTCGGCACAGCCGGGATCCGACTGCTCCGCTGAGCCCGCTGCTCACGGCCAGGCACTGCCTGATGTGCCTCCTGCCAAAGCTGCCTGCCCCAGGGAATGGTGTCCTGAGCTCCCTGTGGCCTTTGCTCTGTGGCTGCTGACTGAACACGGCCTCTTTCTGAGCTGGGAAGTGCCCAAATGGAGTAAATCCTGCGGTCCGGCTGGAGCAGCTGCCGCTCTCCTGAAGCATCCAGCAGAACTCCTTGGAGGTTTCTGATCAGCCTTTCAGCTGCACTTAGTGCTTCCCCCAGGGAAAAGGAGCGTGGCAGTTTTCTCTTTTTCCTGTGCTGAGCATATTGACAGCTTAAAGTCTTGTGCTTCATGAGCACAATAACTCCCTTTTTAGTTCTCTTTCCACCCCTGCGTAAGATCTGGAGTCAGAATTTCCTGCTCTTCCCTCTGCCTGGTTTTACATGGAGGAGCCTTGTACCTGGTGCCCTCTGTCTGTGTCTTACAGTCTGAATCTCCTTCATCCTTGCTGCTCGCTGGCTCTTTGCATCCCTCCTGTACTTGGGCACCACGGAAGTGCCAGTTGGGTGGGTTTGGTGGGGAGAGGAGCTTGTCTGGGAGGAGGTGGATGTGGGAAGCCCTAAGGATCCCTTTTCCTCTCCTCCCACCCACTTGAGGACACTCTCCCACCCCTCATCTTGCCATATGCACGTGGTACATTGTAAAAGCTGGCAAAACCTCCTGATACTCCTCTTTGCTTGGTGTGACACATTTTCCAGTGGTCAGACTGCCCAGTGGCCTCGAGGTGGATGAATCCTGGGGTGGGATTGCCCCAGTTCCCCCCGCTGTGGAGGCCTGACCAGCTCCCCAGCACCTGCCGAGGCCCAGGGCTGAGCTGTGCAGTGGTGGCTCTGGGTAGCTATGGTGACAAACCTGGGTGCTTTATTTAGTTCCTGCTTTTCCTCCAGAAGGTCTGTGTTTCCTGGTCAGTGCCCGCTCCTCCTGCAGCGAGCAGGAGCTGAATCCAGTGCCTGCAGGTTGGAGACTGTCAGTGGCTGGTGGCTGTGGTTGTGTGAGCAGCACAGACACCCCCAGCTCAGCTCTGGCTCACTGGAGGGTTCATGTTGCCTTTGTGTTGCTTTGAAAGGCTCTAAAAGCCCTTGCAGGGCTTTGAGTGCTTGGTCTGGGTCTGGTGTGAGGCAGAATTCAGTGCTGCTAAGTGCTCATTTCCTCTGTCTGCGGGGGCTGTGCTGACCACAGGCCCTGTAGGGCTGTGAAGAAAACACAAACACGCTTTTTAAGGTTTTCCTGTTCCTCCATTGACCACTTTTGTAGTGTTTCTTTACTTTTTCTTCCCCTTGAGCTTTTTTTTATCTTTGTTCCCCTTTCCAGAAGAGCAGAGTTTAGAGGACTTAAAGCTTCTGTGGTATTTGGCTTGTAAAGAGACTCGCATGACAGTATATCCCACAGATTAGTTGGGATGCTGCTCCTCGTTTTGTCTCCCTAATCAGGGATGAAGCTTTATTTATACTCTTCAGGGATGGAAAGGAGAAGGGCTGGTGCAGCTCTGTGTGTGCAGTCAGGAGAGATGTGTCAGAGTGGAAGAGTTTATAAATAGCCTTAAGGTTCTTCTGGCAGCCCATGGCTTATCAACTGTGTGCACTTTGCTTCTGGACCAGAAAAATGCACAAGGTCAGCTTTCCTCCTCCTGGTAATAGACTTTTACTGGAAGAGGAAGCTCTGAGGCTGCAGCTCTGCATTAATCAGCATCTGAATTGATTTCCAGGCCCTGTGACCTGGTTGGTTCTGTAGCAGTTTGTTTCCTCGCTGCCGTGACCTTTCCTTGGCAGGACAGCGAGAGGATGTGTGTCCTGGTGACAGTGGGATGCTTTAATTGTGCCATGGCAGGAGCCCCTGGAGGTGGCAGGGGGGTGTTTGTGCCCATCCAGAGGCCTGTGCTGGATCAAAGGCCCGGGATTTGCCTGCAGAGGGAGTTTGTGGCCGGAACACCCGGCTGAGTGTGTGCAGGGTGAGGGAGAGGGAGAAAGTCCTGTCTCCATTTACAGATTGGCCTCACACTGCTTTTATAGTGCTTGTTTAAATGTTGATCCAACTTGGAGACTGAAGGGAAATCCAGGGTGAGTTCATTAACCTTGCTGCTGGATCTCTTCCTGCTTCTCCAGTCCCGTACCTGAGACTGTGCTGTGTTCTGAATTCCAAGAATTCTGGCCCGGGTTGTAGTGCTGTGCCTGTCCGGGATCATGGAACGTGTGGGCTGGGGGCTCTGAGGGTCTGAGGGCAGATCCGTGCTCTCCAGTCCCTGGACTGCCACTTTCCATGACTGCAGAGGGGTTTGAGGCTGTGGAGGGGCTGCAGTGGGCACGATACCCCCGCGTGGGTACGACTGTGTGGTGTCTGTTCTTATCAGTTTAGTATCTGATACGCCCTCGATGAGGGGACTTGACATTTCAGGAATAATTTCCTCATGGAAAGGGTAGTCAAGCATTGGAAGGGGCCGCCCAGGGAGGTTTGGAGTCCCCATCCCTGGAGGTGTCCAAGGAATGACTGGAGGTGGCACTCAGTGCTCTGGGCTGGGTGACAAGGTGGGCCCCGGGCACAGGGGGCACTCGGTGACCTCGGAGGGTTTTGCAGCCCCGGTGGCTCTGTGGTAGCCCATGTATGGGCACAGCGACTCCTCCGGGAATCCCGAGGAGCAGGGCTGGAGCTGGGCCTCCGGAGGCATCGCCCTGGCACAGCCTGTCCCACCCCTGCGCAGATAAACTCCAGGGAAGGCTTTACCCTAAATGGCAGCGACGGCTCCCGCGGGCAGAGCTGCGGGATGACTTGCCTGGTGAATAGAACATGATGTTTTGTCTTGACGGAGCCTCTCCTCGGTGCAGGGCCTGAGCCACGGAGCTGCCACGGCTGACTCAGAGCTGAATGTACGAATGCACATTTTCAGCGAGGAGACTTTCCATTTTCTTTCAAACCTTGCCCCGAGTGTGGTCGTTTTTCACTAAAGTAAATACTCTTTTTCGTCAATTATTTTCTTCCTGCCTTTTTAATGGCTTGAGAGCAACAGCTCCCTGTGCTGTGGCTGTTTCTAACTGCTGCTCCTGGGCCTCTTTTAATCATTGACTTTAAAATTCTTCCTCTGCTTGTACCAGTTTCATCTGGTAGATGCCTTAAATTTCAAAAACACCTTGAAATGTGGTCTTTAAATAAGTAAATTGGGGGAGTAGGTGGTGCCCTGAGTTCCCTGTTTCTGATGACATTAATAAGAGAACCCAGCCAGTACTTGCTCTTGTCCCTTAAAGTTCATGTAAGAGCTCTTTGCAGTCCTCTTTCTTAAAAAAAAAAAAAAAAGCCAACTCATTTGGGCAGCTCAGCTGTGAAACTGCTGTCTGATCATCTTATTAATAGGTCCTTTAATTAGGTGCAGGATTTTTTTTTCCTCTGAACTTGAGGTGAGGAGAAATTCCACCTGAACGTGAGAAAACTCCTTTGCTCCAGGGCTGAGCTCTGGAACAGGTTGCGTGGGGGGATGTTGGGACATTCCAGACCCAATCCAAACAATCCAAAACTCTGAGGAATTGGGCTCTGAGGACTCCAGTGCCTCAAGTTCCTGAGCCAGGGGCCTGGCATGCACCTGACCTCTAACCTGGAGAGCTCCTTCCGTGTTTCTTTGACCCACTTCACGTGCTGTCATGTGGGTCAGTAGTGATCCCATCGGCCTTAAAGCTCTTAGTGCTGTCACCAGCACAGATAAACCTTCCCAAATTGCCAGGGCAAATTGTATTTGGGGTTCGGGGGGGGAACATAACTTCAGCCCTCCCTCACTGCCCTGTCCTGTCCCCCCTCTTTGCCCGTGTTACTGTCGGGGGTGTGGTGAGAACAGCCTGACAGGGAAGATATCCTGGAGCAGCTTTGGTTACCACACATGCTCTGGTGATTTCTCTCTTCCATGACCTTTGAATTGCAGAATCTAACCTGCAAAAGGCCCTTGCAGCTTCCTACTTGAACTAGGATGTCTCTTTCCAGACCCCCCTTCCCGAGTGTCCATCCAGATGTATCTCCCATCCCTGTGTTCTCTCTCTGTCCTTACCCTGGCTCTCCCCAGCCCTCTGCACTGTTTGCTCCAGTCCTGACTTTCCAAACTCCTGTTTGACAGTCAATATGGTCCTGGAACTTTCACTGGAGAATATCTTGGATGCTGCTGGATGAGGCTCCTGTGGTCCCACTGGCTCATTTCTGAAGAATATGGCAAAATTTGCTCCTTCCCTTCTGTTGAGCTGTGAAGCTTCTGAAAGGCAGTGGGGCAGAGTGGGCACCCTGGGAGGCTGTTTAAGGAATCCATCTCCCTCTCTCCCAGAGAAAATATAGATGAGCTGCTTTTCTTCACCCCCACCCAGTTCCCTCAGATGACCCCAGAAATCCAAGCCTGGCCAGGGCACAGGGATGGGCAGTAGGTTCTATCTGACTGTATCTCAGAATATAATTCCACTAGACTGGAGTATCTGGGACACTGAGCAACTGGACATATGCTGTGCCTGAGGCTTTGGCTCTTCCATGGAGAAAGTTCAATGGAATTATCTGTGAAATGCAAAGTCTTGATGCTCTTTGCCTGGAGACATGGTTGGACCTGTGATCCAGGGCTGGAGGAGCCTCAGTCCCTGCACCGGGAGGGAGGGAAGGGCTGGATCTGCTTTGCAGGTGGGAAACCGAGGGACAGACTGGCTCGGGTGGTCAGTGATGGGGTTGGGATTTTGTGCTGAGCTTCCCGTGCCCGATGCAGCAGATCCTGCCTGGAGCTGCCAGGACTGGGCACAGCATGGCTGGCAGGGAGGGCGGGGAGGGGAGGGCAGAGCTTTGTGCTTCCTGGCCTTGGCTCAGCTGAGGGTGCCCGTGATCACACCTGGCCTTTTCTGCTTCTTTTCAGGGATGCTGGAATACGACCCAGCCAAGAGGTTCTCAATACAGCAGATAAGGCAGCACAAGTGAGTGTTATTCCCTTCCTGCTCGTGTACCTGTGCTCCTGCTCTCACCTCCTGTTTCCTTTTGACAGCAGACACATGGAAGTCACTCAGTCTCCTTCCTCCAGCTCTGCTGGGGCTCTGGCAACCTCCACTTGGCTTTTTTCCTCCTATTAGAGCATCCGGTAAAGCAGTGGAATTGCTGACCGGTAAATAAGGAATATGTTGGAAGTCTGTTTGTGGTGTGCCTGCTTCTGGATGATTAAGGGTTCTGGATAATTTTTTCCAGAGGCCAGCAAGTACTAATGGAGTGGAACAGGGGATCCTTAAAGCTGGGTTATTGAAGCAGGGCCATTCAGTAACGTGTGTTAGTTCTGGCCAGTCTGGGGGCAGAAATATCCCCTGGTATCTGCTCCATATGGAATCAATATGTGGAGAAGCGTTTCAGGACAATAGGAAGGTTTGTTTTTTTCTTTCTCTTTAATATCACAGCGTTCCCTCCCCCGTATCCTCCCCCGTTTTCCGTGCCATAGTCGGGGGGGAAATGCCCCGTTATCGCTGAGGCTTTTTTTGAGGATCTGTTTGAACACGCTGGCTCTGAGCAGAGATTTCCTGGGCGGATAAAAGTACAAGAACAAAAAGCATCATGAGGATGCTTTGCTGCGGAGGCTGCATCAGTTTATCTCCTCTTGGAATGGGAAGTGCTTCTGAGGACAGGCAGAGCAGCCTCTGGACCGCAGCTGCTCGGCACAGGCGCTGTCTGTGAGCCTGCCCAGGCCCTTTTGGGAGCCATGGAAAAGCAAGGATGTGATCTGGGATGGTGCTGAGCCCACTCTGTGCTGCAGGAACAGCGCTGCTTTCCCGTTGTGTCTCTGGAAAAGCCTGGCCACTGTAGCCATGTGCTGTTGTCAGGGGATGGTCCCTGGGAGGTGTCCGAGGAGCCACAGCCAGAACCTGGGAGAGCCAGGGAGCAGAGGGGCCAGGGGAGCAGGGCTGGGGGACCAGGGCTTATAGAGCTGCCCAGGCAATTAATTAAACAGCCAGACCGACTCCTTAATAGCCTTGAGAAAAGCACTAAAAGCACTTTCTTTCCTGTGGGTGCAGAGGCTGCCCCTGAGCTTGGGCACCGCCCTGGGTCCTCCTGGGTCACTGCTGGGTGTTTGAGCTGGTTCCCCAAGCCCAGGTACTCCATTTTATCCTCCTCCCCCGTGGCAGTGAGTTTCTGTGTCAGTGTTGCCCAGCTGGAAGCACAGAGGTGTCTCCAGAGACCCTGCCTGTAGCTAGAAAGCCAGAGAAACTGGAACAGGGCTCTGGCACGGGGCAGCTGTGGAGCTCCTGTGCTCCATGGGCACAGCTGCTGTGCCCAGGCTTCTCATCCCACAGCACTGAGAGGGGCTGAGGAAAGGCTCTACCTGCAAACCCAGGAGCATTTTGAAGGCTTAGGCTCTTATTAGTTTTGTGTGAGCTTAGCCAGTGCTTCTTAACAGGCTTTTCTCCCCTATTAGTAATTGCCTCCTTCCTCCTGCTGTGGCATCTAATAATTACATCAAGCACAGCAGAGCCTGCAGCCTTGGGCCTTGGATGTGTCTGTCCAGCTCCTTTTTGTGCTAAAGAATCCAGAGCTTGGTCCTCCTGCCTTTTCTTTAAATAGAAGCTTAGCCCTGATGCTTAACCTGACCCTGATTTTTTTGTAAATGGAACGCAGCAGTCAGGACAGCAGGCAGCCACTGGATATTGTCAGAGGGTTTTGGGAAAGCATTTTAGTAAGAAGAGATCTGATTTCTGGAATCCTTAGATTTTGGAGCGGGGGAGGGAGTAAGTCATTAATGATTTTGGGTTTCTCTACACTCCTCCCCCAAAACCGTGTGCTGAGGCACAGGAACTAGACAGAAAGACATCAAGAGACTTCCCCAGGCTGCCCTGCTGGGATGGATCCCGGCTCAAACCAGAATCACCCGGTGTCTTTCCGTGCCGCTGGAAGTCTCCTTTTATGTCTTTGAGCTGCTGTTCCTGGGGCCTGGCTCACACGGGCAGTCGGGAGCATCAAAGTGCTCTGAAAGCAGCAGGAACAGCCCCTGGGCCCCAGGCAGGGGTTTGGCTTTGGAGCCAAACGCTGCTGGGCCGGGCTGGTGTCAGGATGAGGGGAAGGGGCCGTGCTCCTGTGGGAAGGGGAGTCCAAGGGAAGCATCACAGAGCGGGTGTCCTGCAGCCACAAAGCTGGTGCTCGGGGTCCATCCTCCCCCACTTCACCTGCCATGAAGTGTGAGAGCTCCTGCACTGGGCTCAGGGGCACTGAGGGAGCACAGAGTGCTCTGTGGAGCTGCAGGAGGCAGGGAAGGCAGCCAGGCTCCTGTGACTGCCCAGCAGTGATCCTGCCATTCCTCCCGTTATTCCTGTCAGCTATTCCAAATGCTTTTCCCCCTGAAGCAGCAGCCCTGGCTGAGGAATGCTGGAGGAAGAGTGCTGAGTTTCATCCCTGCCAGCTGCCTTCCTCCCTCCTCACTCCTGCAGCTGAACTTCTGCATCAGACTCCTGTCCCTGCACTCCTGCTGGAGCAGGACAAAGCAAGATATGCTGCTCTGCTCAACCCAGTTCGTGCAGGTCAGACCTGGAGTTGTAAATGGAAGTGAGTTAAACCTCTCCCAGCCCTGAATAGCACTGGAAGAGCCTGGAAACCTGCTCTCCCCGGAAGGATCCGGGTGGGATGATGTTCAATGGGAAACTGATGCTCGTAGCTCACCTCTGGGAATATTTGGTGCTCCTGGGCTGGGAAGGGAAAGCTGCCAAGAGCCAGGGAGTTCCAACTTGCTCCTCTATGGATTATCCACCACCTCCCCTCTGCCCTGTGCTTTTGCTGAAGGGCTTCATGCTCATACACTGCATTTTGTAACTAATTCACTGACCTGCTGCAGCACTTAAAGTGATGAAGTGGATGCAGAATTCTACCTCTGTCCCTTGTTTCCAAGGCAACCATCTTCCCTTCCCTCTCCACAAGTGTCACACTTAATTTGTTCAGCCGTGGATCCGATTGCAGGAGTTCATGGCACGAGAGGGGAGGCACTTCCACCTTTTATTAGCCGAGGTGCAAATTAACCTGCTGGGCTGGGGTCTCCTCCTGCCCTCCTGGAGGCTGCTGTGCCACCTTCCCCAGCACTCCTGCTCTCTGCAGGAGTTTGGAGAGTCACTCTGGGATGCTGTGCTGCTCCAACCTGGGTACTGAACCCCTTGGAAATCTGTGTGTGGTGCCACTGGATGCTCCTTTGCAGGTGCTGACTGTGCTCTTGGACTCCTGTGCCTGCTTCTGAGGGAAGGAGAGACATGTGGTGCCTTTCCCTGTGCCTTCCACAATTGCCTGTGAGGGGGCTGAGTTAAACTGGACCCCTGTTATCTGCTGCTTATGGTGACAGTGACCTCCCAGGGAGCTCGAGGCCCCTGCATGGCATCACAGGAGAGGTGGAGAATGGCTCATCCCGACCCTGGCTGGCAGGGCAGGGATCTGCAGCTTGGCATCTGGTCTCAGACAGAATCACCCATGTACAACCCAAGCAAACTGCGAGTTTGTGACCCCAGTGGGAAGTGGATGGCTGGGAGTGCTGAAAAGCTGCAGCTGTGCTTATAGATTCTTCATTTAACCTTGCTTATGCCAGAACTTGAAAAGAGCAGAGAGAGGACTTGTGATGGGAGATCTGAGCTTGGGAGCTGCAAACCAGACAGGCTCATTAGGCACTGGGCAACCCAGATTCCTCTTTTCCTTCAGCCCTTGACCCTTGCTGTGTTATCTCCCCGTGGCTGACAGCAGCTGTCTGAACCCCACTGCTGCCTGGCAGGATCACAATTAACACTTGTGCCACTGCTGGCCAGGGCTTCTGAGCTTGCAGGTACCTCAACAAGCTTGTGGAGTAGGAAGAAATAATCTCTTACTACTGCTGCCTTCACCCTGAAACGTTTCTTAGCCACTCCCAGCCCTTTGGAACAGAGATGAGAGAGGAATCTGCCTCTTCCAGGGGATGTTCTGGACAAGGGGCGCTTCCAAGATACCAGAAATCTTTTCTTCCCCCTCAGGGTTAAAGCAGCCACCACAAGCACCAGGTAACTGTGTGTGCCAGTGGACTTGGCTCAGAAAACATCCCTGAAACTGGGAATAAGTGGTGAGACAGGGCACTCCTCAGCAGGGCTCTGACCCAGCTGGTGTTTTGCCTTGGTGGTAAGGGCAGGGTGAAGAGGGGCTTTGTCCCATCGCCATCTCTGCCCAGGAGTTGCTGCTTTCTGACTCAGGCAGTGACCAGTGGCTTCCCGAGGCAGATCAGGGTGTTGCTGGAGCCAGTGGTCCTCAGCTGAAAGGCAAATCTTCACTAACAACCTCCAGCACCAGTGCAGAAAGTGGAATGTCTGTCCCTGCTGGAAAATCCTTGCCAGGAAATACTCCGCTACTCTGCACAGAATTGCTCCAGGCTCCTTCCAAGAGGTCTTTGATTTTTCTTAGAACTTCAATGGATTTCTCTTCTCACTCTCTGTCCTCATTACCATATATGCATATGCAAGTGTTTGAAATCACCTCCCTGAGGATGGAAGCATAATGACTGGAGTACAGTGATTCAGGTTTCTGCTGCTAATAAAAACCTATTTTTACTCTCCTGGTAAGTAGGACAGGAGGGAAGAGTGAGGCAGAGCTGAAATACAGCAAAATAAAAACACCGGGTGCTGTAGGCTTCCAGGCTTTTTCCCTTTAAAATTCTCCTCTTAGCAGCAGCCACTCTGATCTCATTAGTCCTGGATATTCCCTTCTCTCGAGGTCTCTGGTGCTGAGTTTGGATCCCTCAAGCCCCAGTGCCCCTGGCAAAACCAGCTGGTGGCTGTTGGTTCCTCTGTCCCTGTGCTGATGATCCTTCCAGGCCTGATCAGCCCAGGCTGGATTTGCTGTCTTGGCAGTCACTTCCTCAGTGAGCACAGTCCCAAGGAAGGGAGGTGGGTTGATCCCATCGGGAGTGCTGTGTACCACCCACGTCACCAGGGAAGCCATCCGTGGGATCTGTGGAGAGCCCTTGGCCACAATCCAGATACGCTGGTCCCGCTCCCGTCCTGCTGGTCGGGCAGCTGGCGTGGGCTTTGCTCAGCCCTGCGGTGCCACTTCGGGGACAGAGGTGACACTTGCCAGCTGAGATCTGCAGCAGTTCCCGTCCCTCTCCACAAATTCCAGCTTCCTGCCTGCGAACAAGGCACTGCCTGACTCCCAGAGCTGCAGCCTGGCTCCAAAACTCCAGCACTGCAGAGAAAACAGTTTAAAGATGCTGATTGTGAGGCAGTTTCTGGATAAGAGTTCACCCCTCCCTTGAATCCTGCCTGATTTGTCCCAGTAGCTGCATTTCCATTTGTTTATCTCCTCACTCCGTGCTTTTGCTGATAGTTTTGTTAGAATCCCACTTTTTTTCAGGCTGACTGTCAAAGCAGTGTAAGACTAGAACAAAATGATAATTACAGCTCTGCGCAGGAGGTGCCTTCAGCCTGCCTTCCTGAAAGGAGTTTGGAACTGGGGTGATAAAAACCAGATGGCTCAGGTTGGTGAGAGCTCTCGGGCTGGCTCAGGCCCTCCTCCGTGGTTGGAGGCCAGGAGTTCCTGGATGCCAGCTGTGGACTGGGAATCACTCATGTCCCATCGGGCGTGTGTGGGCTGGAGAGGTGTGTTAGAGGTACCTGGGTGTGCAGGAACCTCTGCTCCCACCTGCACTGGGAGGCTTGCTGCGAGTGTGGAGGCCCCAGCAGCACTCCCAGGAAACTTTGGGTGCCCACGTGCAGCACTGGGAGACACCCCAGAGACAGTCTGCAGTCAGAGCCCTGCTCTGGGAGTACGATGAAAACCTGAGAGGTTTATCCCATCTGGCTCTGGGATGCTGCTGGGAAGCAGCCTGCTGGATTCCTGATCTGATTAAGAACAGCTTTTGGAGCCGATATCCTTTCCTGGCCAGATGGGCTTTGGTGGTGATAGGAGTCCCTTGAGACAGAGGGGGATAAAAAGATAAAGTAGAAACGTTTCTGCTGTGGCCTTGGTGCAAACTGGCTTTTAGAGGAAACTGCTGCAGTAACTGCCCCTCTCCTCAGACTGGGATCCTGCAGATTGGTGTCTGTTGGGCTGGATCAGCCTCAGCTTCAGGATAGGAGAAGTTTCTCCTGTCCTGCTTGCTTGGACAACAAAACTCAGGAGCTCCAGCAGCTCTGCTGATGTGTTTTGACTTACAGGTAGTTTGGGTTGGAGTTGGTGACGGAGAGAACATTCCTGAGCTCTGTGTCCAGGCCCTGAGCTGCCCCCTGTGCCTGTCTCCCCGTCCCCCTGTCCCACCCCAGTGTGTCCCACAGCAGACTCCAGCACTGGCTCCTGGCAGAGCTGTTCCTCCTCGCCTGCCAAAGCACATCCCTGTCAGTACTGGGGTGGGATGGGGCGTGGGGGCTCCCGTGTGCCCGTGCCCTGCCCCAGCTGTGCCCTGGGCTCTTGCAGCTGGTTCCGGAAGAAACACGCTCAGGCCGAGGCGCTGGTGCCGATCCCGCCCAGCCCCGAGAGCAAGGACCGGTGGAGGAGCATGACGGCGGTGCCTTACCTGGAGGACCTGCATGGCTACAACGAGGAGGAGGACGAGGACTTGTATGACATTGAAGATGATATCATCTACACTCAGGACTTCACAGTACCAGGTAGGGGAGAAGGATGCTGCCATGGGCAGGGCACAAGTGGTTGGGTTGGTGGTTTTTTTGTCCGTTTAGAGCTTTTTGGGAAAGGCCTCGGGGTCTGAATAGTCCTTTCAGCAGAGGAGGAGACTGTTGGTTAGGGAGTGGTGTGAGTGAGCCCTGGTGCTCTGGGTGCCTTGGTCCTTGATTTGATCAACCAGGATGCCCCTCCCTGTATTATCCCTGTGCCAGCTGGGCACCCTTCTCCCAGGAACAGCTGCTGCTGGACCCTGCTGTTCAGCACAGTTAATTGTTAGGGCCAGTTTGGCTAGAGTGAGTTATTTGGGAGCAGAGCCCTGAAGTGACTCTCTGTTCAGGGTACATGGCACACGGGGGTGGCCCCTGCACAGCAGGAGCCTGGTCCCAGCCTGGCCTGTCCGGGGCTCCCCAGCTCTGGAGGGTTTGTGTGGTTTGCAGAGGTGGGGGAGCTGCAGAGGCAATAAAGGTGAATGTTTTCACCCGAGCGTTCCTGCAGGATCCCTTTGAGCCTGCTCAGTGTTGTATCTCTAACAGTGATGCCGTGTTAAGATATAAATTAAAACCCCCTTGTGCATGAGGGATCAGTTCAGCTGTGGCTCTGCTGGGCAGCAAGAGCAGGAGTGTGAGTGACTCATAGGTGGGGGTGGGTGCTGGGTTGGGGGGGGTAAGAGGGAACCTCATTAAATCCTGTGTTCTTCAGAGGAAGAAGGGGCTTTGAGAAAGTGCTTTCATTTTTAAAGGGTTATTTAAAGATTTATGCAGCTCTGTGGGGAGATGTAAATGTTCCAAGCCCCTGGTTCAATTGGTGTTAAACATCCCATCCGAGGGAAGTGCTGAGGAGAGGATGGAGAGGATGGAGGAGAGGATGGCTGTGGCCCGAAGGCAGGATCCTTGTGTGCAGTGAAGGGATGTGAACGTCCTGCTCAGTGCTTTTGTGCTGCCTCTCAGATTTGGAGGCCGAGCTCTGCTCTTTCCTCCCCTACATTAACCCCTCCTCTGCCCCAGCCCTGTTCTGCAGCGCCTGCTCCTGGGATTTTCAGTCTGAGGCTGGGCAATGCAGCCAGGACTGGAGTTTTTTAAACCAAGCCTGGTGCTCGGGAAGGTGTGTTCCTGGCTGCTCTGGTGCCTGCGTGCTCGCTCTGACAAACAGCGATTCAAAACCTCTTGGTGGTGTTATTTTGAAACCTTTTTTGGTGCCTGAATGAGCTGGATGCAGAGCCATTAAGAATGTGAGGGGTGGCAGGGATGAGCAGCCACGTTCCCGGTGCCTCTGTCAGCCCTCCCTTTATTTATTTTATTTTTAGCCTGCCCGTGGTGAGGGTGAGGTGGGCAGGAGCTGCTCGGGCAGACGCAGCGCTGGGTCAGCGGCTTCCGCGGGGGCAGCAGCAGTTGCCAAGACTTCAGCCCATGCTGAATTTTTATTTTCATTAATTTGAACGTCAGCAACTGTCATTGGTGAAGGAGGTAAAATTAGCTCACGATTCACCTCCCTCCTTGGTATCCATAATAGACTCCCGGGACTGTGCTTTTGAAGCAGGGAAGGAGGGGAGGAGGGAAGAGTCACACAAAAGACAAATGAGCTGTTTGGATAGATTCTTTTTTCCCTCCCCAGTCAGAAATGTTAATTGACTTGGCCCGAGCTCAGCCGAGGGAGGGGAAGAAGTGTTCAGCTTGGCTCTGAATGGGGTTGTTTGAGGCTCTGCAGACGTGCTGGTGGGATGCAGGGATGGGAGGAAAAACCCAGAGCTCTGGGGAGTTGCTGCAGCCTGACCCCTGTGAGCTGCTTACCCTGAGCCCTTGGGGGGCTCTGGGGCCAGCGTGTCCCCCTCTTCTAGAGCTTGGATCCCTTGGCCCTTTCCAGCCATCACCCCTCCAGAGGGATCAGGTGATGGTGGGATCAACAGTGGGGTGTGAGCTCCGTGCTCCTGCCGTGCCAGCCACTGCCACAGCACGTCTGAGGCTCTGACACACACCCAGGGCACCCCCTCTGTCCCCGGGGGGGCTGAGGCACCCCCATCACCTCGGTCCCTTGTGGTGAGCCTGGCCAGGAGCTGTGCTGCTCGGGGGTGCTGGGTTGGACCCCCCCTGGGAGCGCAGTGAGTGCCACCGGCTCTGGCAGTGCCAGGGTTGGGTGCCCAAAGCCAGTCCCTGTCCCTTCCCGGGGCAGGAGCACTCAGGTAAGTGCCACAAGCCAGTGACTGGGAGCTGTGGCAACACTCGGAGCCATTGGAAGGGATATGGGGGCAGATCCAGAGGGAACTGATGGCACCTGTAACCCAGGATCCACTCCCCCCTCCCTCCCCGTTTCTGGAGGACCTGCAGCAGTGCCAGCGGGGATGTGTCGAGGCACAGGGGTCCAAGCTGGCCCCCCGCTGTGCCCCCCCAGAGCAGAAGTGTCTGTCCCAGCCCCTGAGCCCCCCCAGCTCCGAGCAGTGGGGTGATGGTTGGCGCAAGCGGAGCTGACGTCCCGCCCGGCCTTGGCGGAGAAAGGATTGAGCATCCTTTAAAGAAAATTATACATAATCGTCTTACAGCCCTCGCTTCCACTCAAAGCTCTGAGTCATAACTGAAGGGCCCTGGAGCGTGACGTTCCTGCTGGAAGGAAATTGCCTCGGCTGGATCCGGTGGGGGGGAGCCCGACAGAGCCTCTCCTGAGCCCCGCGTGGGGCCGGGGCTGCACCCCCATCCTGGGGGAGCACCCGGGGTGCTCCGGGGCCACATCCCTGCGTCACTCCCTGGCTGGAGGGATGTGACCCGAGCCCCGGCTGTGGCAGCGGGAGATGCCTCTGGAAATGGCTCTTCACCTGCTCTGCTGAGTCACAGGGAGCAGAGGAGGCAGAGGGGCTGATGTGAAGCCCCCACGCCATCGGGGTGTCCCCTCAAGGGATGGTCACACACCCGAGCCCTGGCCCTGCCAGAGGGGGCTGCACTGCCCCATTCTGCAAACACACCCAGCCCCTGGGCACCCCAGAGTCAGTGCCTGGGGCTGGGATCTGCACCCCCCTCTGCTCCCCAGAGCAGCTGGGCTGGTCCCTGGGAGTCCAGGGGGGCTCGGAGACAGCCCAGGGAGGAGGGGACACACCGTCCTTGTGGTGCTGTGCCCGTGTGCTGGGAACCACCAGCTGCTGTGTGCTGGGGGAACGAGGGTCAGACCGGTCCTCGGGGGGAGGAGGGAGGGAGATGCAGCCTCAGGCTCCCAGCCTTGCACATCCCCTGTTGGGGATCCCTCTCCCGTGCTCCTCGAGGGCGCAGGAACAGGCTCGGGTTTCCGCAGGAACAGGGTCCCTCCCGGGCGCTGGGAAGGCTCTGCCCACCCCTCACTGTGCCCGTTCCCTTGCAGGACAGGTGCCTGAGGAGGAGGCCGGGCAGAACGGGCAGAGCCGTGGCAAGGGGCTGCCCAAGGCCGTGTGCATGAACGGGACGGAGCCGGGGCAGCTGAGCACCAGGGCCAAGGGCGAGCGCCGGGCCAGCGCCTCCTCCAACCCCTCCCGCAAGGCCTGCTCTGCCAGCAGCAAGATCCGCAAGCTCTCCACCTGCAAACAGCAGTGAGCTCTGCCCAGGTACCACGGGGGGGCCCGGGGGGGCTGCCCGAGGAAGGGGGGGACACCCAAGTCTGCCCCAGCCGTGGGCAGCGGGAGGGAGCTTGGGGGTGTTTTGTAGTCTGGGTCCTGAGCATCCCCCTGGAAGGGTCCCTGGCACCAAACCCATGGTGTTGGGGGGTGCAGAGCCCAGTGGGGACCCCTGCTCTGCCTGCCTGGCTCTGCTCTATTACCCCTTGCAGGGTGTTGCCCCATCAGGCGAGAGCTGCTGTCGTGACCCCTCTGCCCTGCTGGGCTGCAGCTGGGCTGTGGTGACAGCCCTTTTCCTTGGCACTGGCACCCCCTGCTCCGCTCCTGGCCTCACCACCCTCCTGGATTTTGGGAGCACAGAGGAGCAGTGGGATGCTGAGCACTGGGGTGTCCCCAGAGAGGCCCCCATGGGACCTGCCCCTGGCCCGGGAGGTGTCTGTGTCACCCATGGCCAGGCCACTGCTTGCCCAAGCCCCTTCCCCTCCCCTCCCTGCTTCCCCCCCTCCTTCCGGCTCCTTCTTCCCCGGCTCCAAGCCCTGTCCCCTCCTTCCCACCCCTCATTCATAAGGGAGCCAGCAGTGACTCATGTTCAGCCTCATCCGCCCCCGGCCTCATGCTCGTCACGGCGCTGCTGGGGCTGAGCTCTGTTATCTCCTGGATCACGACCAGCTTTGTGGTGTGAAAAAAGCCCGAAATAAAAGCTGGATCCTCCCCCTGCAGCTGTCAGGGGCCGTGGCAGCTCCATCTTTAATTCATGGGGGCAGTGAGTCACCTGTGCAGGGAGTCGGTGCAGCCAGAGCCTGGGACGGGGCTCCCTGGACCTGCTGCTCCTCCCGCCCCTCCCGGCCTGGGGGCTCCAGGATGCTGCTGGAAGGGGAGGGTCCATGGGAAGGAAGGGAATGCTCCCCTCCTCGGCGTAAAGGACATTCCTTGGTGTCATTTTCCCCTTGGGGTTTTTCTCCTCGGCTTCAGGGCGGGTCTGGGCTCACCTGGCTGAGGGACCAGATGTGTGTGAGCCCCCACCAACCCTCCAGGGACAGCACAGGGACCCCGGGCCCCTCTCCCCCATCCCAGGGGGCTGGCAGGAGCCCTGGTGCAGGGTGTGACCCGCTGGCAGTCGGGAGCAGAGCCTGCACCCCAAATTGGGCACCCCCTGCCCTCCCTCACCCCTCCTCTCTGTTCTCCCCACAGCACCCCCGGGCCCGGGCCTGCGCCCCCCCCTCCTCGCCCCAGCTCTGCCTCTCTCCTGGGACTGGACTGTGCTTGCGATCCAAAAAGAAACCAGAGGAAACCAACCAAGGCCCCCCTTCCCTCCCTGCGCCCCCCCTCCGGCAGCGCCAGCCCCGGGGCCGTGTGCCCGGACCCCCGGACACCTGGAAGTTGAACTTTGTGGCTGCCAGGACGCTGCCCCCCAATCACTCTTTGCCAATCAAGACACTGATTCTGTTTTTAATTTTGCGATGGGAAGGTGGGATGGGGGGGCCGGGGGGTGGGACCCCCCCTGCCGGGCCCCCCCGGCCGTGTAGAGTCGTGCAAAGCCATTGCCGTGCACTTTATGTTTTAGACTACTGTTATATATTATATATTTTCCTCTTTTTTTTTTTTTTTTGTTTTGTTTATATTTGCGGTATATTTAGAGATTCCTACACATCGTGATGTGTTAAAATAAACCAGATGAGGAAAAAACCCAGGTATTAAGACAAAGCAGAACTCTGTTACACCTGCATGCTGCACGGGGGCTCGGAAGGGAACAGGGCCTGGGAAGGGCTCAGGGCTTGGAAGGGATCAAGGTCTGGGAAGGGCTCAGGGCTTGGAAGGGCTCAGGGCTCAGAAGGGATCGGGGCACTGGCAGCCACTTGGCTCCTTTCTTTTCTCTCTCTCTTTTTTTTTTCTTTTTTTTTTTTTAAAGAAAAATAAAGTGAAAACAGCAGGTGGGTTTCATGTCCTTCCTCCTGCAGCAGGCGGGGTGGGGGCCACAACCAGCCCCTCTGCTTCCTTTTCGTTTTGGGAGGGCACAGCCCCCCCAGGCAGACTCTGCTCTCGTGGGGTGATGCCAGGCCTGGAGCCCCCCTGCCCCGACTCCCCCCACCCTGTGGGCACCGTCCCAGGAAGCAGAAGGTAAGAAACAAGCTCAGAGATGTCACAGTCGGTTGGTTTTGTTTTTTCTCCTTTGTTTATAGACTTAAAAACGCGGGGTTGATGGAGGGAGGGCTTTGGGCAGAGCCTGCGCAGAGGGAAGGGGGGACCCGGCCTCTACTCACATGCAATGGGGTCTGGGGGCCCCTGCCTGTCCCCTCCCCTGCTGCCGAGTCCCAGGTGCCACAGCTGGAGCTGGGCTGGGGTGAGGATTTGTTCTCTTTTTTTTTCCCCCCATCCTTTGAAACACAAATAAAAACCCAGTAAAAGCAAACCCCACCCCGGAGCAGCAGCCACCTCTGTAAAAATCAATAAATATCCTCCGGGCACCTCGAGCCCCCGCTGAGCCCCCGGGGGGTGGGAGACACTGGGGGTCACCCACAGCGTGCACTGGGGACCCCATGCTCTGCTCTCACCCTGTACCCCCACCTGAGCAGCCCCCACCCCTCCAGGGGGCATTTATGGGGCCCCCAGGGCCGGTCCTGCCCAGCCCAGGCTGCCACTGCAGGACCCCCGGCTCCCCCGTGGCCCCCCGAGCAGCCCCCCGCCCCAGACCCTCCACTTCCAGTTTAGATCCCAGGCTCCCTGCAGAACTGGGGACTGTGAGATTGAGGAGGTGACTCCCCCCTCCCCAAACTACCCCCCCTGCCAGGGTGGCACCGCAGCATCCCCCGGTGGGGAACACCCAGCTCCGGCCCCTTCCTGGCAGGACGTTCCCGGCTGGAGGAGAGGCTTATTGCTTGTAAAACCACGGAGAGAGGGGAGAGCGGAGCTGGCTCGGGGCTCTGCCGGGGGCTCAGTGGGGTGGGGGGTCAGCAAAGTCCCCCGGCACTGACCCCCGACCGACGCTCGGCTCCTTCTCTGCGCCCCGACCCCCGGGGCACTCCCAGCCCGGGCCCTCTCCTGGCACCTCGCTCCCGGGAGCCAGAGGGCTTGGCCACCCCACGCTACCGGACCCCCGTGGTGGGGGGTACAGCCAGGGGACCCCACATGCCCTCCTGGCCTTCCCAGGCCGGGACACCCTTCCCACAGGGCACCGGGCACCGGGCTGGTCCCCACGCCGGCAGCAGGAGGGGATGGAGCCCCGAACTCTAGTGGGGACCAAGTCCCCCCGTGCCAGGGTCTCTCCCCCTCGGGGTGGGCCTAGACCGGGCTGTGGTCGGGGGGGGCATCACTGGCCGCCACGGCCACCACGGGCTCGGGGGTCTCTCCCGCTCTCCTCAGGTGCCCATAGAGCCGCTCCTCCAGGCCACCGGTGATCTTGTCCATCAGCTCCGAGCCAGAGCCAAGCCCCAGGCACCTCCCGGGGCCGGGGCAGTCGTCGTCCTCAGGGGGCTCGGAGCCAGCCTTGGGCTCGGGGGCCGCCTCGCCGGGCTCCTCCACAATCACTTGGATCTCCGGGTCGGGCAGTGCCGGGGCAGGAGGGACCCCATCGGCCGCCTCGGCCGCCTCCTCGTCGCCGGCGCTGACGATGCGGGGCAGGGGGCTGTGGAACCGGGCGTCCAGGGGGTAGTTGGCGCTGTCGCCGCGGCGCAGGGGCGTCCGGTGCCGCTCCAGCGCCGGGTACCGCACGCCGGGGTCGCTGAACTGCTTCGCGTGCTGCCACTGCTTGCGCAGGTGGGTGCGGGAGCGGTGCTTCCCCCGCAGCGGCGACTCGTCGAACTGGGGGTCGTGGCGCACGAAGGCGTTGAACAGCGCGTCCGTCTTCTCGTCGATGCTGTAATCCCGCCGGGGCAGCGCCTCCCGCCCCGGGAACATCTGCCCGTACGGCGACCAGGCCAGGGGGCTGTGGGGACGGAGGTGTCCCCCGCCCGCTGCGCCCAGGGCCGTGCTCCCCCCCTCTTCCTCCTCCTCTTCTTCCTCCTCCTCCTCCTCCTCCGGCTCCCGGCCCTCGAAGCTCTCGAAGATGGTTCCTTTCCGCCCGGCGCTGGTGAAGCAAATGCGCTTCTCGGAGGCCGTCTGGTCCTTGGGGGGCCCCTCCTCGCCCCCCCGGCTCGGCGCCTCAATGGAGGCGTAGCCGCTGTCCATCTGCAGCAGCTTGCGGGTGCCGGGCTCCGACTCCTCCGTCTTGGACCGACCCCAGAACTTCTCCTCGGGCCCTTCGGCCTCGTCCAGGGAGGAGGAGGGGCAGGGGGCCACGCCGCCGGCAGAGGAGATGCTGTCCCCGCCGTCGCTGCGCACGGAGTCCTGGTCGTTGCTGCGCTCGGAGGCCGCGTACAGCTCCAGCGAGGCGCGCAGGCTCCAGATGTCGTGGTAGGCGCTGGGCTGCTCGGGGCCGCCGGCCTCGCCGGGGCTGCCCGCGCCCCCCTCGCCCGGCTCTAGCCTGTGGGCACCACCCCCGTGTCACGGCAGGGACAGGACAGTCCCACCCGGCAGCGATGCCGTGGTGCCACCCCATGCTGTCCCCACCACCCCGCCCGTGCCCCACCCCATCCTCCCCATCACCAGCTCCCCCTAGACCCGGTTGCCCCATCAAAGCCTCACAAAGGTGGGAGCCCCCCACGCCCAGGGCAGCACGGGGTCCCACGATGCCTTCCCGGTGCCCGGCTCACCCGTCCCCATCCCCTCTTATCTACTGAAAAATACCTGCCGAGAGAGGGTGGGGGGCTGGCGGGGGAGGGCAGGAAGGGGCCCCCCGCGGGGTGGAAGGCCACGTCGTCGGTGTGGGCGATGTACTGGATGATGTCGGTCTGGTGGGGGTCCCGGTCCTCCTGGTCCATGCTCTCGCTGGCCGCCCGCTGCCGCTGGAACTGCCGGCGCTTGGGGGACCCTGGGGGACACAGGGCAGGGCTGGGGGGACAGCCCCGTCTGGCACCACGAGCCCCCTGCCCACATGTGCCCACCCACCCCACACGGCCCTGCAGGGCCCCCCTTGCCCCCACCTCTGGTGTCCAGGCTGGATGCCCGCTGGGTGCTCTCCAGCTTCCACTTCTTGATCCTGAAGTAGGGGCTGGCCCCGTCCAGGCTGGCGTGGCGGCGCAGGCGGGTGAAGAACTGCAGGACGGGGCCCTGGGGGGGGGTCGGAGGGGGCTCCCCGGGGCTGGCACTGCCCACCCCAGCTGCCTTCCCGCTCCTGGGGGCTGCTGCAAACTTGGGGGGGGGGGTGGAGGGGCCGTGAGTGCCCGCTCGGCCCCACTCACGGCCCCCCCGGCCCCCCGTATCCCGCTCAGCTCCTTTGTCCGCTCTGCTGAGTTGGGCTGCAGCAGATGCACAAACGTCCCCCGGGGCAGGGATGGGGTGGGGGGGGCAGAGCCTGTTTCTAGTTGGATGCCCACATCTCTCCCCAGAGCCCTGGCACAGAGTGGGGGGCAGGGCCGGGATCTGGGGGAGCAGGGAGGGAGCAGGAAAGAACCATTGGGGCTGCACAGGCTGCCAAGGCTGGGGAGCCCCTTCCCCTGCCCGGTCCCAGCCCCCCACCCCAGCACTCACCGAGGGGCCCTCCCCGGAGTCGGAGGAGGCAGCCGGGCTGGCCTCGGTGAAGCTGGTGTCCACGGTGGAGTTGTAGGTGTCCCCGGGCAGGGCAGAGCTGGGGCCCACGGCATGGCTGGGGAGCACCGGCTGGGGCAGGGCCCCTGTGGGGCGCTGCAAGGCAGAGCCTGCTCAGGGGGTCTGCACGATGGTGGGGACCAGGAGGAGCCCCTGCATCCCAGGACCCCCCGTCTCCACTTCCAGCAATGCCCCGAGACTCCCACCCCGAGTCCAGTGGTGCCTCCCTGGTGTGCTGCAGGATGCCCAGACCCCTGGCCCCCCATGTCCCAGCAGTGCCCAGGGCACCGGGGGCTCACCTGGAAGATGGCAAGGCCGGGCTTGGGCGGGGGCAGGCGGGGGGTCATGGCCAGGCTGTTCTCGCTGGACTCGCACTCGTGGATGGTGACAATCTTGAGGGCGGGTGGCGGGAGGTGCAGGTGGGTCAGGCGGGCGTTCTTCAGGTGGTGGAAGTCCCCCTCCGTCAGCGTGTACCTGCGGGACAGCCGGGTCAGGAGGGGCAGCCCCGGCCAGCCCAGGGTCCCCCAGGGCCCCCCAGTCCTGAGCTTCACCTCCTCCCCTTCTCCTGGGTCTTCTTGCCCTGGTCAAAGAGCGCGGCCTCGTTGAAGGAGACGCGGCGGGCGGTGGAGGAGCTGGAGGACAGGAACCGCTCGCTCTCCGCATCCCGGTAGCTGGAGGACGACAGGCACTCGGGGTCCTCCACTTTGACAGTGATATCTGTGGGGAAGGGGGTCAGCCACCAGCTCCCCCCACTGTGGGGCACCCCAGCTTCCCCAGCTGGGGCGTGACAAACTTGCTGCACTCGTGGCCTCGATGCCAGCCTAGAATTCCCTGCTCCCGGCTGCCAGTCCCACTCACAGCAAGGAATGGATGATGGAGGGCCCAAGGGCTGCCTTACCCCCACTCCCAAGGAGCTGGGGGGGCTGCTGGGGGGGCTGGCAGGTCACCGTGGGCACTCACCCTGCGCTGGCTGCGAGTCATCCAGGTAAGTGGTGTTGGTTTTCTCAGGGTCATCGCTGGCTCTGCGGAGGGAGGAGGGTCAGGGGTGCCCATGCCAGCCCTCCTGCCCCTCTCGCAGTGCCACAACCCTCGGGGACAGCGGCGTCCCCCGTGCCCACCTGGAGTGCCGGCGGTCGGCCTCGCAGCAGCGCCGGCAGATGATCAGGATGCCCGAGAGCAGGACCAGGGTGCCCCCGATGAAGATGGAGAGCAGGGCGAGGAGCAGCACGTACCCATCCTGGGGGGACACCTCGCCGGGCACCGCCTGCCCGGGGCCGAGGGGCTGAGCTGCGGGGACGCGCCGGGGGACCCCGGCCCAGCCCAAACCTGCCCCCGGCCCAGCCCAAACCTGCCCCCGCCGTGCTGACGCCAGCGCCGCTCCCCAGAGCCGCTGAGCCCCCCCCGCGCCGCCCCCGGGCCCTGCCTGCACCAAGGCAACGGCAGCCGGGGGGGCTGAGCCGCCCGCGGCCCCCGCGCCGAGCGGGAGTGGGGACGGGGACAGGGACTGGGATGGGGATGGGGATGGGACCCCCAGTCCTGCCCCACCACGGCGCTCAGGGCTCCCAGCCCTCAGCCGGGGGAAAGGCGCTGATCCGGCAGCAGCCTCCAGACCCCCCAGCACCCAGAGCATCCCGGGGGGGTGCAGGGCACAGAGAGGTGTCACCCACCCCCAGGACTGGCAGAGCAGGGGGTGACAGTGGGGCTGCTGCCGTCCCCACCCGGACACAGCCCCCAGCCCCATGGCAGGCACGAGAACCCCACAGCTCCTAACGCGCATCCCCCCTCCCGCGGGACCCCGAGGCCGGCGGCGTGGGCAGGGGCAGGCAGGGGCTGCAAGGGCAGGCAGGGACAGGCAGGACTCACCGTGGCGCTCTCGGTCGCGTTGTCCCAGGGTGTTGGGTCATCGCTCATGGTCCGTCCCGGCCTGAGCGTGTCCTGGTGCGGGGGGAGAGAGAGGGAGGCACCGGCCGGGGTGGCGGGGCCGGGCCGGGGGCGGCGGCGGCGGCTCCTGCCCCGGCCCCTGCCCGGCACCGCGGTGCGGAGCTGCCGGGAGGGACCGGGAGGGAGGGACCGGGATGGAGAGATGGAGGGAGGGATGGAGGGAGGGACCGCGATGAAGGGATGAAGGGAGGGTGTGCTCAGGGGGAGGATGAAGAAGGGATGGAGGGTGTGGTCAGGAGAGAAGCAGGGATGGAGGGATGAGGAGGAGGGGACAGGACCGCTGCTCTTCTCCGGGGAGCCCCTCGCCCCCGCAGGCCACAGCTACCCCGCGCCCACCCCCGGACTCGCGTGGGCACGGCCCCCGGAGAGCGGCCGCGGTCCCCACGCCCGGTTGGGGCCGGAGACCCCAAACGGTGGCTGGTGCCGGTGGCCGGCCCGGGGGGGCTGTCCCTGCCCCGGTTCCGGGGTGACACCGCACCGACGTCCCCGGGGAGCCGAGGGGCCAAACGCGGCCCCAGCCCCGCTGCCGGAGGGGTCGGCGCTGCCGGGAGACCCCCGCCCGCGGGAGCCCGGAGCGAGCCGCGCTGGGGGCAGCGGCAGGGACGGGGGGCAGGTGGCCGCCCCACAGCTCGTGGCGTGGGTGTCGCCGGAGAGCGACGGGTGACGTTCGTGAGTCATCCCGAGAGCGGCTCCGTCACCGGGCGGTCCGCGCGGGGGGGACACCGAGGGGCCGGGGGGGACGGGCCGAGCTCCCGAGCAGCGAGAGCCACCGGGGCAGGGGTCCCACACCCCTCCGCGGCATCGGCCCCGCGGCCTTTGGGCATCCTGCGGGGACCTCGTCACCCTCCCCCGTGTTCGGGGGGGCCCTTCCCGGGGGCTGCCGAGCTCCAGCTCCTGCTGCGGGTCCGTGTGTCCCCTCCGTGTGTCCCCTCCGTGCATCCCCGGGCTGCTGGAGGGGCTGAGACTGAGCTGGGGGGGCGATGCTGCTGTCGGGGACCCCCAGAATGGGCAGGGGTGGGTGATGCCGGTGTTGGGGACCCCCGGAGCAGGCAGAGGTGGGCGCTTGGAAACCGCTCAGAATTAGGTCAGTGAAAAATGTGAATGGAGCCCGTGAAGGGGTGGGGACTGTCACTCGTGGGGACAGCACAGCGGTGGCCGCGTCGCAGCTGGCAGCGAGGGATGGTGACGGCTGGGGCCAGCCCTGGCACAGGACATCGGGGTCTTAGCGGGATATCTCCCGGGGCAGAGACCCCCCCGCCCACACCGGCTCTCGGTGCATCTCAGGCATCTCCGAGCTGGTGTGATGCAGCACGGGGTGAGGGGACCCACCCCGTGGCGCCCCGGACACGATAAGGTGGGGGTCCCTCCACCGACCCCAGTATGCCGAGGGTGTGGGGGGACCCCGGGCCTGGCAGGGGGGACCCCGGGCGAGAGGCTGCGGCTCCACGCGGGATGGGGGCCCGGCGGGAGGGATCCCTGTCGGGCACCCTCAGGCCCGAGGCGGGGGGCGCGGGGGGCCGGGGGGAGCTGGAAGAATGTCCCTCCTGTTCCCCATCATGGAGGAATCCCGTCTCCATGGCGACCCGGCAGGAACAGGACGGCCATTGTCTGGAGGAGGGGGCCGGTCCCGGGGCTGTCCCCCCGCGGGGGGACACGGGGCGGGACCCGGGGCCGCCGGTGGTGCCCAGGGCGGGGGCTCGGGGCCGGGGGACCCCGGTGCTGCCGCGCCCACGCACGTGGGAGGGGGTGCGGGGGGCGTGTCGGGGCTGTGCCCCACGCGTGTGTGCGACCCACGGGGCCCGGTTGGGCCGGGGCTAGGCTGCGGGCGGGGGGGACCCGCTCTGTCCCCCCTGGGTGCATCCCCCCGCCCCAGCCCGGTGACGGGGATGCAGGCAGGGATGCGGGATGCAAATAGGGATGCGGAATGGGATGCAGGCAGGGATGCAGGCAGGGATGTGGAGCAGGGAAGGAGGCAGGGATGTGGAGCAGGGACGGAGGCAGGGATGCGGGATGCAGGCAGGGATGTGGGGCAGGGATGCGGGATGGAGACAGGGATGCAGGCAGGGCTGGTGACAGGGCTGGTGACAGCGAGGCAGGAGCGCCGGGGACCTCCAGGCGCGGTGGGGCGTGATAGTCTCCCCTCGGCCGGGCTGGCTCCGTGTGTCGCGATAGGGGCTGTCGCGAGGCGGCGGAGCCAGACACTCACCTACAACCGAGATCGGGGCTCCATCGCCGCCGCTGCGCTCGGTGCGGCGGGGCGGCCCCGGGATTTATGAATGAACCGGAGCCGCCCCCGCGCGGCGCGGGCGTCACGTGGGGACAGGGGCTGCCCCAGCCCTGCCTGTACCCCTGCCTGTACCCCTGTCTGTACCCCTGCCTGCCCCACAGCCCTGCCTGCACCCCTGCCTCCACCTGTCCCGCCTGTACCCCTGCCTGCCTGTACTCCTGCCTGCCCTATAGCCCTGTCCATACCCCAGCCTGTACCACCTCTGCCTGTACTCCTACCTACACCAGCCCTGCCTGTACCAGCCCAGCCTGCACCCCTGCGTGACCCCCTGCCGGTCCCAGCCCTGCCCGCACTCCTGCCTGTACGCCTGTCTGCACCTCAGCCTGCATCCCTGCCTGTACCACCCCGCCTGTACCCCTGCCTGTACCCTGCCTGTACCAACGCTGCCTGCCCCCCTGCCTGCCCAAGACCTGCCTGTACCTCTACCTGTCCCACGTCCCTGCCTGCATCCCTCTCCCACCTCCCTGTCTCCATCCCCGCCCCAGAGCCCTCGCGGCCGGGCCGGGCCCGGGGGTGCGGCGGCCCCTCGGTGCGGGGGCGGAGCGGGGCCGGACCCCCCAGCACCGCGACACCCGGCGGGGCTGGGACTACAACTCCCATGAGGCCCCGCGGTGCCGGATGACGCCTTCTGCGCCGGGCGGCGCGCGGGGCACGCCGGGAGCTGTGGTCCGGCGCCGTCCCGGCCTGCCCCGCGCCGCCGCCGCCGCCGCCGCCATGGCCGCGATGTTCCGCGCCCGCCGCCTGCTCCGCCTCGCCCGCCCCGCGCTGCTGCCGCCGCCCGCCCGCGGCTACGCCGAGCCCGCCGCGGGCCCCGCCGCAATGGCCTTCACCTTCGCCTCGCCCACGCAGGTACGGCCGGCCCGGCCCCCGTGTCCCCGCCGCCGCCCCGCCCGGTGCCCGCGGCGGGCTCGGGGCGGGCGGGACGCGGCCGGTGCCGCCGCCCCCGTGGGGCCGTCGGTGCCCGGGGCCGGGGCGAGAGCGGGGCCTGGGGCGCTGCGGCCCCCGCGGCCCGGCCGGGCTGTCCCCGGGCTGACCTTGGCCCTGACCTCGGGCCGTCCCCGCCGCGGCGCTCCCGGGGCCCGCCCGGGGCCGCTCCTGCTCCTGCTCCTCCCGGAGCGGGACGCGGCCGGGCCGCCCCCGCCGTGTCCCCGGGGCAGGGCGCGGGCACAGGGACGGGGACAGCCGGGCCGCGTGGGCCGCAGCGGGGACACCGGTTCAGGGCTCCCCACGCGCTTCCCAGGCTGCTCCCGGCTGTGCCGGCGCCTCTCGCCCACTCCCGACTCCGTGTCTGCGTGTGCCCCGGGAGCTGGGAACGCATCCCCGCTCCCCGTGCCAGGACCCCTCCTCTGGAACCCGGCCCTGCTCCCTGCTGTGCAGGTGTAGCCTGTCCTGGGCACACCTGGGCGTGCTGAACCTGTCAGGAGCCGGGCTGTTCCCCTGGGATGGAGCTGGGATGCTCCCTCTGGATGGAGCCAGCTGCCCACTGCATCCTTGGGCTCTTCCCTGCCACTCTCCATCCCCCCATTCCCGATGACTGTTTTCCTGTGTCCTCCCCGTCCAGGTGTTCTACAACGGTGCCAACGTGAAGCAGGTGGACGTGCCCACGCTGACTGGCTCCTTTGGCATCCTGGCATCCCACGTCCCCACGCTGCAGGTGCTCCGGCCAGGCGTGGTCACAGTCTACGCCGAGGACGGGACGGCCACCAAGTACTTTGGTGAGCGAGGCAGGAGGAGCTGGGGAGGAAAGGTGTGTGTGGGGATGGTGTTCTCAGTGCTTTCACAAGGGAGGCTCTGCCCAGCCACGTGTGCCCTGCTGCACTTCCAGGGATTTCTGCTTTCCCAGCCCTGCCAGGGGCTGCTGGAAGCTGCCCTGGGAGCTGGAGCTCTGTGGGCTGGGGTTGGGCCTTGGTTCTGCTCAGGCTCTCTGGGAACATGCCTTGCTCCGGCTTCCCTTGGGGTGGGAACTGAGGCCCTGAATGTTGGGAGCGTGACAGGAGGGTGCCAAGGATTTGTTTTGGGGAAGGGATGGTGGAGGTGCCGGGGGTGAGCCCCTCTGGCAGCCCTGGCTGACCCTGCCCTCTGTGCCTCGCAGTGAGCAGCGGCTCCGTCACCGTCAACGCCGACTCCACGGTGCAGGTGCTGGCAGAGGAGGCGGTGACCATGGACATGCTGGACCTGGCCGTGAGTACCCCGAGCCCGGGGGGGCTCCCCGGGGGGCTTTGCCCCCTGCTTCTCTACTCTGGTTGGCTCAGGAGCTTCCCCTGCCCAGACCAGGAGCTGCACCCCCATCACCTGGATCAAAGCCTCAGGGCTCCGGGGAGTGGGAACTGTGCAGTCATCCACCTTCCCCAGGCTATTCTTGCCCGTCAGACAGACACTGACCTTGTCCCCATCCCCTCTTGGGCTCCAGAAAGAGCTTTTCCCTGCTGATAAGGTGTCTGGGGCCAGCACAGCTGTGTTGGCTGCTCCACAGGGTCCCAGGTCAGCGTCTGTGGGGTCAACAACTGCAGTGGGAGTGAGGGGGTGACTCTGGGGCTGTAGAATTGTCCCCTCTCCTGTGGTGGTCTCCCAGTGACACATTCCTTGTGCCCCTCTGTTCAGACTGCGAAATCCAACCTGGAGAAGGCCGTGTCAGAAGTGGCTGCAGCGTCCGATGAAGCTGCTAAAGCAGAAGCTCAGATTAAGGTAGAAGCCAACGAAGCCCTGGTGAAGGCTCTGGAGTGATTCAGGTGAGGGTCACCTGGGGCCTGGCTGAGTGTCCAGACCTGCTTCTGGGGACAAGTCCTGTGGGGCTGCTGGGGTGGGCGAGGGGTGGTGCCCTGGCTTCTGGGGAGCAGTGACTCTGCAACTGTCCCTTGCTGGGGTCAGGCCTCAGCTCTGGGAGGGCCTATGGGGGTCCTCAGCCCAGAGCTGAGGCAGGGCCACCAGATGGCAACAGGGCCCAGGGCCAGGCCGGGCTGTGCCCGGTTCAGCCCTAATGCCAGGACAGGCTGGGAGCTGCTGTCACTGCCAGGGCTTCACTGGTGCCCCAGGTCCCCCCAGGACTGGCAGTGCTCACGGGCAGCTCGGGGGCAGGCAGGGGTGCCTGGGCAGTGGCCTCTGCCCTGCGTGGCCTCTGTCACGGACACTCCCACTAAGACAAACAGCTTCAGTCTCGGGGGAGGTGAAGCCAAGCTCTTACCTCATGGCCCCTTTTCCCTCTGCCCTGCTCAGACTGTGCCTCATCCCCCCCATTCCCACGTGCTGGCAGTCGGGGACTGTGGCAGTGTATGCTGTGCTGGGGGTGAGTCACTGAGAGCCTCCGTGAGCCCCGAGCACAGCAGGGCACCGGCTCCCACTATCTCAGCTCTGCTCCGGGTGCTCTTTGGTCCCGGGGAGACTCTGGCTCGTGTTTACTCTCAGCAGTTGAGCAGCTGGAGCAGGGCCAAGCCCTGGGGTCAGGATCCACGGCCAGCCAAGCCCCCCCCTCCGTAACCCAACCCTGCTTTGTGCATTGCAGGAATCCCACCGTGGGTGCAGAACTCCCAGCCTGTCCCTGTCCTGCTCCCCAGCTGCACAGATGGAGTGGGGCGAATGGAGGTGGAGAAACCGTTCTCATCAATTAAAAGGAAATGCAACCCCCTCTCGTGGCACGTCACCTTCTTCCCGCACAGCGACTGCAGTGGAGCTGGGATCAGCTCCCGGCTCTTGCCCCAGGCTGGGGGCTGGGGGGCAGATGCACCCAGGGAAGGTGTCTCTGGCGCTGCCCTGGGGATCAGCCGGGCATTCCCGGGGCAGATCTTCCCGCACGAGGCTCATCGGGCAGGTTTATAACCCCCTCCCGGTGCTCCAGCCACCTCCACCTCCAGTAATCACCTGGACAGCAGGATTAAGGCAGCACAGGAGTACAGGTCTGTTCCAGAGCTGTCCTGTCCTGGTTCCCTGCCCCGCCACTGGCTCTGCCTCGGCCTCCCGGCTCCGCAGGAATCCCCATTGGCCGGACTGTTCCAGCACGGTGCTGCTCACAGCTGGGCAGCAGCTGCCGGGCTCTGCCCCATCCCCTGCTGCTGCTGGCACACGGAGCAGGGAGAGCTCCCCCTGCCCCCAGAGACTCGGTGCAGAGGGAAGCGGATGCCGTGCGTGGTGGGAATCTTTCCTGCTGGGGGCGGCTGTGACTCTGCTGCAGTCGTGGCTCACCCGGGGCTCACTGGACACAGCCCTGTCTGAGGAGGCTGCTCAGGACTCACCACAGCCCAGGGAAGCAGGAGGGGCTCTTCCCAACCCCAGAGCTGCTGGGAAGGGGCGTGTTTGAGTGAGGGGATGGCTCTGCCTGTGCCAGGCACCGGGGATGCATGTCCTGCCCACGGCGCAGATGCTGCCAGGCCCCTCGCTCGATGCCTCCCTCCCCACGCCCTCCCAGAGGGATTTCGGGTTTCCTCTGCTGTGCAGAGCTGCCACGCTCTAATCCCCTTTTCCCTGCCGTGTTCCAGCCCGGGAAGGTGCGTTGGCTGCCTGTGTGGGCAGCAGCTCTGGGGAGGTCACTGCTCCAGGGAGGTCACTGCTCCGGCCTCCCGCGGGCCCCGCGAGGCTCCCGCTGCTCCCTCCCGGAGTGGGGCACGGCTATTTTCGGTGCTGCCACCCAGGATGTAATCTTGGCTGCCTCCTCTTCTCACCGCCACCTCCTCCCCCTCCTCTTGCTCGCTCTGTCTTTCTCTCCCCCCCTTCACAAGTGATCAAAAATAGAGCCCATGGTGTTAAATTTCTCACTGTGGCTTATTAAAAGCCTCCGAGTGCCTGATGCGGAGCCTATTTGAAGCTCAGCCGACTTCCAGCTCCTGAGCTGCTCCAGTGCCTTTTCCCCTTCCCCTCTCGTTCCCTTTCTTCTTTTTCTTCAAAGGTCAGACGTTGTACCGAGCATGAGCAAATCCTCCGAGTCGGGGCTGTGCTAATTAAAACATCTCGGGAATAACGGGGGCCGGCCCCTCTCCCGCTGCCCCTCTCTGTCCCCGGCTGCTATTTCGGCTGCGTGAGCCTCCCCCGGCACACGCAGCCGTGCTGACGGAAGGTGGCTGCCTCGGGTTTTTCATCTAATGGAAGAGCGTTGGCGAGGCCGGGAAGCTGGGGAAACGGCCAGCTGCTATTTTTAGGATGGGAAAAAAGTGTCTCCGTCAGCGTCCTCTCACCAGCTCTTCCCACTGCCTTCCGCCAGCGCCGGGGGGGCCGGGGGGGCCGAGGAATCCGGCCCTGCCCCTCACAGGGTGCCCTTGGCTGGGAGCTCCACGGCCTGACGGCTGCTGGGACTTGTAGGCTGTGTCTGGGGGGAGCAGTGAGGGCACCTCTAGTTCTTCCATGTCCAGAGACCCTGAAACAGTGCCCCCACTGTGTCCTGGGATGGGGCCTCTCCTGCCCTCGTGGCTGCAGGGAAAGGGCTTTGTCCTGAGCCAGGACCGGAGCAGCCCTGGCTGGAGATGTCACAGCCCAGCTCGCCGTGAGCTGCACTTTGGGGGCGCGGGGCCACGTGTGGGTGATTCACTGAGCTCCTCCGCACTCCCAGCCCAGCCCACTCCCCGCAGGGACCTCCTGCTGCAGCCTCGGCTCCGAGCCCCTCACCTCTGCCTCTGGCCCTTCCCCTCGTTCTCCTCCCCCAGCTCCTGCTGCCCACGCCAGAGCCGCCATCAGTCGTGTCCCACTGGATGCCATGAAAATGGGCTGACTGGGGGCAGGAGACGTGCAGCTGTGGCTGCACCGGAGGCAAAGCCCTTCCCTGCTCCTGGCTCGCTGTGCTGGCACTGCAGGGAAGGGGGAGGCAGCTCCACGGTGTGGACCATGATGTGATTCGGTGGGTGAATCTCCCTCTCCCCGAAACCAGCCTGGATTGGGGAGATGGTGGCACTGGTCTGGCACTTGGCGGTCCCTGGAGTGCTGGCACCTGCCCTTGGGCACCACAGCCTCCGTTCACAGCTGGGCAAAAGGCCTTTCTCCACCTCCTTTTGGGGTGATGGGTGCTGGGGTAACTCTGCCTTTGGGTCTCTGTCTCTGCTGGGGGCATGCAGGGCTGGGAGCATCTGCACAGTGCAGTGGAGTTATTCCCAGGAGCCTGGGGTCCGTCTGGCTCCGGCTCTGGGCTGGGCAGTGGGTGTGAGAGGGAAGAGCTCCCCTGGCCGTGGCGGGAGCGGGCAGGGGGCCGGCATTGCCCCCCTCCTCCTCCCCTTCCACCCAGGGCTCTCGCCCGTGACTCGCATGCTCTGCTGCCAGATGGAGGGTGGGGAGCGGGGCCGGGAGCGCTCGGAAAGTGAAGCATCACGGATTCTGCCGGCGGCGTCGCTTCTCCGGGGGATGGTTTCCGAGACGGGCCGGGCTCTGCCGGGCCAAATCTCCCGGTGCTGAGGGCCCTCCCTGCGCTCGGCCGCGTGGCATTTCCCCGTCCCACCCAGTCCCGAATGCAGGCGAAAGGTTCCAGCTCTCCTCTCTCTGCAGGAAAAACAACCCCAAACCCCACCGCAGCCCCAGGACGCCCCGCTCCCGCCGGGCTGACTCATCCCGCAGAGCCGCCCCTTTCCCTGCCCAAACCTCGCACTTGGGATCCTGCCTGGCCCCGCTTGGGCTCCTGCCTGACCCTGCTGCTGCCTCGTGCCCTCAGCGCCCAGTCTGCAACATCAGGGTGGGGGCACAGGGGCTACCCCCACCCCTCACATTGCCGGGGGGCTGTGGGAAGTGGCAGCAGCCCCCACACAGCCCTCCAGCAGCGTGGGGACCCCCAGGGCAGCTCCTTGCCTGTCCCTGCCGAGGCCGTGCAGTGCCCAGGTGCAGATCCGGCCCCCTCCCTCCCCCGGGCCTGTGGGTGCTGCCCACGGCCCCGGCATGGGAAGGTCAGTGGAGGCTCCACACGCTGCCAGCACAGCCTGGCGTGTCCTTGGGCCACGCTGCCCTTGGGCGGCTCGAAGGCCAAATCCTCGCAGCTTCCTTCGGGTGTGGGGGGGTTGCTGTAATGATTAACCCACCCATGTTAATCGTTCCGGCCGGCAGCCTTTTTCCTCTGGGTTTCCAGCTCTGGAAAATGCTCTTTTTCCGCCACCCTCCCACGCACGTGGCCCCGTGGAGGGAGCATGGCACAGCTCAGGGAAAATCCCCGCGGGCAGGAGCGGGACCCGGCTCGGGGCCCAGCACCGGGATCTGTCCCAGCGGGGCCCCTCAGTCCCGGTCCCAGGGGTGCTTTGCTCTGTTTCCAGGTGGTGGAGCCATGGGGAGCATCGCCCCACCGGCCTCTCCCCCGAAATGCAGGCACAGGAGCGGGCGCCGCGGGCGCTGAGCAGGGCGGGTGTTGCAGCCAGCACGACGGAGCCTGTCACGCTGCTCCCGGGCCAGCAGCCTCGCGGCGCTGCCGGCCACGCGGCAAACCCTGGCCCAGGGCAGCTTCTCCTGGCAAACTGAGGCACGGGTGGGGAAAGGCACTTGCAGGCTGGGGAGAGCAGGGACGGGGCATGGGAATCCCAGACCCTGCTGCTCTGTTTGGGGATGGGGGAGCCCCCTGGGAAGCTCCCCAGGAGCCGCTGGGGCCAGGTGAGGGGCAGTGGGGGTGGCACGTTGCCATCACTGGGGTCCCAGGTGCCTTGGCAGGGGCTCGGTGGCCCCGGGGGCCACAGGCACGGCCCTCGCTCGGGGCAGCCTTGGCGGCTGCTGACTCTGGGCTCCACTGGAGCCAGCCCAAAGCCGTGGGGGCCAGAGGGGTGCACGGCCCCGTGCTGGGGGTTCCAGCAAAGCCCCCTCCTGCTGCCCCCTGGCCGGGGCCACCACCAGTGCGGGGCAGGGGGAGGCTGGGGAGGAAGCGGCTGCCAGCTGGGCTCGACGCCGGCTACAAAGGCGGCCCAGAGAGCCCAGCGGAATGAGGTGGCACCCGTCCAGGTTCCCACGGCGGCCCTGGTGCAGAAAATACACCCGGAGCTGGTGGCGGTTGCCACAGCAATGGGCTGGGTGCCACGCCGCGGGGGGCACGACCCCGGACCCAGGTGTGCCAGCACGGGACCCCAGCTCAGGGCGGTGGGAGCAACGTGGGGCGGCAGAGCCGGGCGCTGGCAGGGACCAAAGGCTCCTGCCCTGGCTCCCGCTGCCCCCGCCCGCCTTTGATGTGCCGGGACTTCGCCCTTGGTAAAGCTGGGAGGTTCCCAAGGAGTTCCCAGCTGGATCCCGGCATCCAGCACCCAGACACCCAGCGCGAGCCCCCGTGGGCCCTGGGGCTCCATCCACTGCTTGGTTCCCTTTGCCTCCGCCACAGCCAGGGGCTCAGAGCCCCCTCGGGCTTCCCGGTTCCTGGCAGGGCTGGGCCAGGAGGAAGCGGCTGCAGCTGGTCCCGGCGCTGGGGCTCTTCCTGGCGGGGCTGGCGCCGGGCTGGGGCGCAGGGTGGGGAGGGGAAGCTGGGGGGGCCGGGGCCACTGCCCTTTGGGATGCCCCAGCATGCGGTGGGGAGGAGGAGGCGGCAGCGCTTCCATGCCCGCTCCCTCAAAGGCTGCCCCTCCACCGGGTATAAATAGCAGGATTGAGGCCTGGCGTGACATTGGAGTCACTTCTGCCACCGCCACCTTGGGTGTCTCCCCCCCCTGCCGCGCGGGACCTCAATGGGTTCATTGTGCACTGTGGCCCTGCAGG